GGGGGGGGGGGGGGGGGGGGGGGGGGGGGGGGGGGGGGGAGGAGAGACCCATCTATTAAAAACTCTGGTTATTCATATTAAGAACAACACACATTAAAGTTCTCGCAGGTCTCAGAAGCGCTTTGACATTTGAACTGGATTTTTCTGTGGAAGGAGGGAAGGGAGGGTCATATTTGATCTATTTTGGTCTCTCTTGTTACATGTACAAGAAGATTATAACCCAGTTTGAGATCAGGAGCAAAGTCTCCACCCAAACAAGGCTTATTCCCAGATAAGTGTGTGTAGCAGCTTAGAAAAAAAATTTAAATAATGCACAAATGCATGTGTGCACATGCTCACACACAATTATCAATTCTATATACCATTGTAAAAATTCACAGAGTAGTCACAGCATGTTAAGTAAAACTAATGTTCTTCACACAGGGCAACCAATTTGAATCTTAAGTCCTATCTCAGTCCTTTTCAAGCTGCTGCCTTCTCCAGCTACTGTTCTGGCCAGTGGTCATGAATGGTGGGAGTTAGTTAGTGCTCCCCCCATTCCATTGTAGTCACTTTTGAGATTCAGAGGAGCTATCCATGGTGCTGAACCCCCCCCCCAGGGTTGTGACCATGGATAGCTCCCATAAAGCTCAAAAGAAAAGCTGCAATTGATGAGGAACCCCTGCTGACATAGGAGTCACTTCGCCTGGTTACCCTCCAAAACTCCTAGAAGGCTATTCTTGGCAGTGTGGCCTTCACCCTAAAACTAACAGGTGTAGAAAATGCAAATACCCCTGCAAATGAGCACCCATTTTAAGCATCACCCATCCAAATTATTTCCAGCTGAGCAACCCTTACAAAATTAGAAACTGGGCTAATATAATTAGGAGTATATCCAAAGATACTGTTTGTGTCTGAAAAGACACATGGGTCTTCACCTCCAAAGAAGCATTGCCTCTCTATTCAAAGGTAACTAATGCCAAAGCTTCTTCAGAACGACCAGAAAATGTTCAGACTTCGAGAACCATTCCACTGGGAAATTAAATATTATATTTAGCCTGTTTTCCTTTCAAGGAACTCAAGGTGGCTGACATCATTTTCCTCCTCCTCCTCCCAACAACCACCCAATGAAGTGGGTTGGGCTGAGAGTTTGTCACTGGCCCAAATAAAACCCAGATCTCCTGAGTCCCAGCCCCGTGCTCTTCACCACTGCACCACACTGGCTCTACACCACAAAAAAACCCTGAAGTGCACACAGTTTTTTTTAGTATACGTACCCCATTTGAGGTATCTGGGTTTCACAGACATAGTTTAGTGGTAGGAGAGGCAGGCACACATTAGACATGTTCGCACAACCACGGGGGGCGGGGGGAGTTAAGCAACAGTGGCTTACTTTCCTTGCTGTGCGAGACATTTGCAGAATTATCCTCCCTGGCACAGCTTGCAAATCTGGCAAGGGTGGTGAGAGATACCGCCCAGAATCTTGAAGCAGCTTATAGGAGTTCTGCCTTGTGATTCAAAGCAAGGAGCCCACCTTTGCCAGATTCACATGAAATCACAAGCAGTGCTGGCAACTGTAATTATGCGACACCCCCCCCCAGCACACACAACACAAAGCATGCCGCCATGGTTTATCTCCCCAGCTGTGCAAACCTGTGCAGTCCGCTTTTGTTTCTGGAGGAGAATCACCACCTACATTCCTGTAGTTGACAATACTCTGGTTTAACACGATGACAACACAGAGAAGCACGAACACAGGTCTGTTTCTATAACCCCTTCTATGCATGTTTATCAAGGCGCATGTAGAGAAAACGATCCATGTCCCATGCTTACCAGTGGCACTGTGGGAGCTCACCTTCAGATTGCTGGCCCAAGACAGGCGACTGCTGCCAAGGAAGTAAAGGTGGAGGTGGAGACCTGAGCCCTACATGTGCTGCCATTACGGCTTCTATAATCCCTCCCCACCGGTCAAGACGGCTCAGACAAATGGGAACCACGGACCAACCTCTTGAGGGCAACCGGTTCCCCAGCCCTGATATAAAAGCAAGCTATTAAACAACATAAGCATCAATTAATGAGGAATCAGTATGATAAACCAGCCCTTCAAACAGCCTGAAACCAGGCACACAACATGGAACCACAAGCAAGTAAACCATGCCTTACTGGGCTGCGGACTATAGGCGACATAAAATATAAACAAGGCATCCAAGGCAGCAAAGAGCAATGATTTGGCTAACTTACCACAAAGTTCCACTTTCCTTGGTCACCAAGAATGTACTGTGCCTGTGGCTGTACATTAACCTTCAACATCATCCAACAACGAAGATAACACTGGAAAAAAGTTGGCTGCAAACAGGTCAAGGGCTCCAGCTCCCACACGCGGGCTGTTTAGGCTTATGAATAGCCCCTGGCATGAACTGTATTTGAGAAAGGTCAACTTTTAAATGGCCAGCTTTTGTGAGATGAGGACCGTTGTTTTAGGGTCTGACGTAGGCCATCCATCTGCCAGGCGGACAAGGTTGCTGCCTGGCAGATTGGATTTTATTTTGAAGGCCAGGCTCATTTTAGCAGGGGTACCAAATGTCTGGCCCACTGGGCACCCCTATCTGGTCCTTGCAGCCCATCGCAGTGGGGAGGTCCTCCAAAGAACAGGGCTTAGGTTCCAGCCCATGCCCAGCAGAGCCTGGTTCCTGAGAAGCAGGGGAAAAGGAGAAAAGCATTCTTGCTAGGAAAGCATATTCCAGTCCAACTCAATATATGGTTTACCATGTGTCCCTACAGAGCAAGTCAATTACAGATCAAATTCTTCAGCTCCAGAAGTATGACCGGGACTGTGTTACACTTCTGTGTATCCTTGAGATGTACCTTTGTAACAGATGTCAACTGTAAGCTGCTTTGGCGGTTGGATCTGTCAAAACACAGGATGTCAATGCAAATATTATAGGGTAATACAAAGAACTACAAGGTCTCTACATTTCTGTTTATTGAGACAAACTAATTAAAAGGCACAAACATGGGGCATATGTTTACATGACATTATAACAAACATATACATTAAAAGTGTAGGAATGTGTTCTTTTTGCTACACAGGAAGTTCCTAAGCTTTATATATACAAAAGTTGTACAATTTGATGTCCTAAAGTACAAAAGATCATTTATAAAATTATTTTACACTAAGTTCTATTATTTTTCCCATTTTTAACTATGTAGTCCAAGCCCCTAGAACCGTTTTCACATAATCTGGACAAACCGTCTTCTGACCCCAGACGCTTGCCTCAAAAGTACGAAATAGGCTGCTTTTACATAGACACGATGGGTATAAACACAAAACAGTGGACTCTGACCCTCAGGCTTGCCGGCATCCCATTAAAAATCAAAATATTGACTGCTACAGTGTTGTCACCCTCATTCTGATTAAAAGCTACCCCACTTTTCTCTTCCAATTATTTCATATACCATCTTGGTTATAGGGTATGTCTTTAAAAACAACGATTAAAAAGCGACTGTGACATGATATCCTAAAAAAAAAAAAAAGTAATTGTTTCCCTAGATTTTCCATCCTACTTTATGTACAGACAAAAGAAATAAGGAATGCAGTTGTGGTGTGTGTCTTTTAAATGTGATCATTTGAGGGGGAAGGGCAGGGACTTCTCCATCACTGGATGGGTCAGACAGTTGCTGGGAAACCCCCACAAATTGGTAACTTAGTTAACACAATTAACTAAAAGTACAAATAATGGCTGGGAAAAGGGTTCCTCCAAATATTTACAAAGTTGAAGAGATCTCCACAACACTTGATTAAGGAAGAGGGAAGAAAGAGTTTTTAAAAAAGGAAACACAAAACGTAAGATGCACTCTCGGCTTTGTCCTGAAGGGGGCATCCTAACTAGTTAGTGGTTAGAATAAAAACTTTATACCATTTTTATAATATAAGACAAAAGAAAAAACCTTCTAGTGAATACCGCCTGCTCTTATGTCGCAACATCAGCAGGTCCTGATTGAGAGAATGGGGGCAGACGCGCATCCGACCCCGGCACCTCCAGTCGTCCAGCTTAAAACCATTTCTCCGTATTCCAAAGCCCGCTACTTGCTCTTCATAAAGAGTCCCAACCAGGTATTGACCAGAGACATGGTCACGTTTCGAATCCTCTTCCACCAGCCACAGCTGTTCCTTGCCAATCCTTTAAACAGTTCTTCTCTTTAATATGTTGACTATGGTGTTATATTCCCTTAGGGTAATATGTCACGTAGTATTTACATTTCCAAATATCAGGTCACAATCCCTATTGTTATTTAGAAGTTAGAATGATAAAGTTACCATATGCTTTGCATATCAGAGCTGGTGTCACTTTTCCCATAGGGAACTTGGCCTGAAATCATCATATTCCCAAAAGGTAAAATGCATAATTATTCAAAATGCATTTCTTTAAAAATAGGACCATGAAAGGCATTTACTTAAAACAAACACTACAACTCTACTTTCTGAATCAGAAGGATAAAGAGCTGGCAAGTTTAAGTGATCCATCTCCACCCGGTGATAATGGAACGCCTCCTTTTGAGGCCTCTAGTGTTTAGAATAAAACCGTTCCTTCGTTTGCAATCTTCAGGGTTACTGATAATGCTTATTTTAATATATATATATATTTATATATATGTAGAGTGGGTTCGACTCCCATCTGCTCTCCTTTCAGTATCACTGCCAGCTTAAAGGAAACGAAGTGACCGGTGATAAGACTGGCAGCCAGCCAACTAAACGGGGATGCTATAGGTTGGTTTGTTTTAAACTGGGACGTGAGTTTTGCCCCAGCTCAAATAAGTCTGGTTTCATTACCGTCGTTAACAGAACAAAAACAAAGCAAAAAGGTAACTGCTGGTAAGCTCTTGCTTTTCATTCCTTTTTTTTTTTTAATACTGCTAGGAAGGTTGGTTTTGCTTTGCTTTTTTATTTTATTTTTTTTTACCAGGGGGGAGAAGTGGGCAATGCCTGGGGAAGGAAAGGCATGCTTTCCACAGGCCTCATCGCTATATTCAACGGACCAGCTAACGTCATTGGTGTCGGGAGGTTCATGGGTGAGGTTATGGTGACTGGGTGTGCTATATTCACCGGAGCAGTTACTGAGGTTGGCAGATTGACCGGTGTCGTGAGCGTTAACGGAGAGGTCATGGACAACGGACTAGTTATAGTGACGGGGTGACCTAGGCTCATGGGGCTGGAGATGTTCACAGCGCTTGATACATTGACTGGACTTCTCATGTTCATGGCGGCAGCCACCGTGACTGGATTGGTGATCGTCCCGGACGTCACTGAGGAGGTTATATTGAAGGGAGTAGAAAGAGTCACAGGCGTGGAGGCAGCGGTAGACGTTTGGCACAGGCTAGCAGCTTCTACAAAACAAGATGCAAAGAGATGTTGTTGTTGCTGCTTTGTTTGAAAAAAGACACACAAGGGAAGAGCTGGAACCACTGGCAGGGTGGTTCTCAGGACACACTTTATAACGTACAGCTGCATGGGCTCCCACTTGGACTGCTGCACAGGCTAGTCAGCCCTCCTCACCTCTAGGAAGCCCTTCCCACTGCAACGCGCAGCCCCTTCTGCCTCCAGGCCCTTTTTACAGACAGTTAATGCCTGAGCAGCAAGAACATTTCAAGCACACCGCAGCTGCTCCGCTAACAGCTGTTAACTTGCAGAGCAACAAGTCAGCCATCAGCCTGTGTCTGCCTCGGATTCTTGTACACCGGCAAAACTACGGAGTTTAAAACAGCAGCCTATACAGTTGGTGCTTCCACATCTCTTCTCTCTCTACAACAGTAAGTTTACTCCCAAACAGCAGCATCTACTCGGAAATATGATGGTTAAATACTATAATTCTACAACCTATGGTAACTTCAATCATGCAATTCATCTCAATTCAAGACATTTCCTGGGAAGCTGCTTTTTTAGTATAAAAGGGGGATTTGCTCATAAAAACAGCACATTATTAGCAGAAAATCCTCTCATGAGGAACATTATAAGTAGAGGAGAGTGTACATACCGAATGGTACGTACTCTATAGCCTTCTCAAAGTTGTACTGACATTCTGTGAAGGTTTTAAAAAGTCATTATTAGGGACCAATACAAAAAGCTGGTTTCACTTTTTACCTGCTTATTTCATTCTTAAGATCAAGTCAAAATCACCATCGGTGGAATAATTTTAAAGTGTGGCCCAATTACTACAACACCCCGGCCATCATGACGTGTGCATCAAGCCCCACTGGCTGCACACCTTTCACATTGGCTAGTATTACACACCAGTGCTTCCTTTGGCATTTGAGAAAGGATCTGGTGTACACTGTACACCAAGAGGAACATGGGGCCGGTTGCTCAGGGGAGAACAGGGAGGCTATACAGAGGGGCAGATACCTCTAATATATCAGCACCACCTGCTGGCTAGCGAAAGAGTACTTCTCATGGTCACAGGGAGACGGAAAAAAGGCAGGAAATGGAAGGAATGCCAAGACCGTCACAGGTACAGAAAGGACTAGCAGCCCTTGGACACCTCAATCTAAGTATAACGCAGGCATGAAGCCAAGACAGAGCCATTAATGTCCACCACCAAGCACAATTCGCACAGGCAGAATTTATAAGGCCGCAACGCCTCACTGTTGCTCCTGGGAACAATGGCCAGGCTGTGTCCAGGCACAAAAAGCAGCATCTCCCAGTGCGTACTGGGGAGTGGGGATGCACACAGAGCCACAGGGGCAAAAGGTTGGTGGCATGACGCACTAGCATTTGCTAGTGATATTTTGTCTAAAAACTGACACTGTGTGTCCCCAGAAATGTGGAACTGTATGCTGTTATTTCAAAGGGCAAGATGGAGACAACTAGGGGTCCAGTCTCACCATAGAAGCTATATAAATGTATCTGACCCTACCTTGCTTGACTGAAGTTGGCCTCAGAGTCTGTTGACTTTCTGTAATCAAAATTGGGAGGTGGAGGAAAGGTGTTGCGATTAAGCCATTCAATGACACATTTCTCTCGTTTTTTCTTTAACACTACGATCTAATATTTTTCCCATTTTTTAAAAACTGTGTAGTCCAAGCCCCTAGAACCATTTTCACATAATCTGGACAACACTGACCCCAGACGCTTGCCGCAAAAGTAGTTTTCCGCACTAGTCTTGTAAAAACCAGACAAGCTGCCCTTGCGCCCAAAGGTAAGACTGACCGTTCCAGCTTTAAAAGTACCAAACCAAAGCCAGTTCCCAAAATATGCCCAGGCCAAAGGCTGCAACTGTGGAGCTAGTCACTTCATCGAATATGCAGGCCACTGCCCTTCTCTACGCTTACCAGCGACTCTCCGAGACTTCGGGACATGGGCCTTTCCAAGCTCTGCCAACCTTTTTTTGACAAGGAGTGTTTGGGACAGAACCTGGCACTTCCTGTTAGCAGCACATGGGAGTTTCCTGAACGCTACCCGCCTCACCTTACTCTGACCCATCCACTACTAAACAGGAAAGCTACCAGTGCTCCAGTCCTGGCCACCATGTACCTGAGGACCCTGCCAATGCGTGCTGCCCTCTGCGACCACTTCTGCCAAACAGGTCCCAGCAATTCAGCATGCAGCACCATGTAGCAAAAGGAAAAGAGGCTTGCTCCAAAGAGCACCTGAGTGCAGGGCAGATTTCTGGCCCGGCTCATGCGCTGTAAGAGAGGCGAGCTAGACGCAGGCACCACAGTCCAAGTATCCTGGCACCAGCTCCTGCCTTGTTTCCTAGGAAGCCGGTCCAGGCACGGATTATTCACTTTGGCAGCGGTGTGCCGTGCCTGCTGCTTCTGCAGGTCTCACTTCTCAGTGGGCTGCAAGCAAGTGCAGGATTTTGGAATTCAGCAAGACTAAAGGCTGTGTGCTCAGCTTTCTGGCGGTCCTCCCTCTGGTCTCCCTAGTTCTCTTCCTTTCACTGCAGGCAAAACTCTTTTGCTAGGCTCCTTTGCCTGACGTTTCTCTGTCTTGTGCTTGAAGGAAGTACATAGATACTTGCCCTTTGTCATGTGGGAAAACTTCAGCAGGGCTCTTCCATACCCATCCAGACTCAAGCTGGCTTTGAGTCCTGCCCAATGGCTCTCTGCTTCTGGGCTAAGCCAGCCAGCAACCTGTGGGAGCCTAAGCTTTGCTTCCACCAAAAGAGCACCTCCTTCACAGACAGGTGAGGTTTGCCATCCTCCAGGGGGATCAGAATTCCACTGTCTTTCAAGACCCTCCAGCCTTTGTAACTGCTGCCACCCCCCCCCCCGCGTGTTCCCCGGAAACCACTCCTGTGTGGATGCGGTTCCGTATAAAATGGGACAATGATAGAGTAGGATGCAAGCAGCCACTGTGAGAGAGCGTAGCAAAGCTGCAAGTGACAACAGAAGGGCAAGCAGCAGAGGTCTGGCGGCCAAGTGTTTATGTCAGTGCATAGCTATTGACACACCTTACTCAGCGAAGGAAGGGAAATTCTAAGCCAGAGGTGAAGTCTCTGCTTTACAGCATGTATGTATCATGTACGTAAATATATTGGATTTGGCCTGGGGAGGCCCAGGCATAGAGCTCACTTATGGCCAGGTACATATTCAGAAAACTTTTAAGGCAAAAAAATGCCGCCCTCGGAGAAGGGGCATAATTATATGTGTGGATGCATTAAATATTGCCACAGGCTTCCCATGCAGGAATGGAATTCAGTATCTGATCTACCAGTTAGCATCCCGTAGAGTTTCAGCTTTCACAAAGAACTCAGAGGAACGCTAAAGCAGAGAGACCAGAGTGTGTTTCAGGCTTGTACTGGTTAGAAAACTTCCTTCATACCCAACTACACCATTCCTTCCACAAACTCTGAAAGTAGAATTATGCAAGGGTAAAGCACCCACATAATTTACTCCAATTACAGAATCCTGAGTTCCTTGGCATACAAAACACACAACTCAAATTATAATATGCATACTGTAAAAATTTGGTACTACCACATTATCCTCTACAAGACCTAGATATCATTTTTTAAATGATGTGCATGGAACAAAACTGGCAGAACACCTGTCTGGATGGAAATGGAAAACTCAAAATGGAGCACAACACCCAAGGAAAGGAGCTTTGTTTCCTAGCCTGAAAGTCTGATATACATATTAATGCAAAGAGGAAAAAGTTACTTTGGCACTGATTAATTTGGCATCTCTGCATTAGATGCCTTTGGCAAGGGTAGTTGCAATAGGAAAGGTACAGCTTCCTAGTACTGAAGCCACCACAAGGCTGAAGGGTAAATGGACATGTGTATCTTTGGTTCGTATTATTTAAGAACATTTTTATCAATAACAAAATAGGCAGTAGCCAGAAGCCCAAGTGCCAATGGGAAAGAACCAGCTTTATGCCACATAACTGTTCCATCAGCCTACCCCAACCAGGTTCCCGCCATATGGTTTGGACTACAATTCTCAGGATGCCTGATCATTGACAATGCTGGCTGGGGCTGATATTGGCATGACAGTATTACTGTCTAAGTGACCAAACATGTCATTAAATTATCTGTGTTTTACATTCAGTGAAGCCCGAGTGCGCTAGAAATGGCAACCAAGTGACTGGCGTCGAACTGAAAGATCTAATAGTCTCACTGGCAAGAAGGAACCGCAGCAGCTTTTTGTTTTAGAGTCACACATTAGCAGTTAATGGAACATCAGGCCAATTCTGCCTAAGTGCAAAACATGAGGGAAATAAAAGGCAAATGTGCTAAAATTGGTAACAACATCAAGAAACCATGGAGGTCAAATGTCTTCTGGCCATGTTAGATAACTTGAGGGTACATATCTGATAATATGCTACAAACAATACCAGTTTGACTGCCATGGCTTACCCAAAGTTGCTGAGAAGTCTTCATTAGACATTCTCTCTTTCTGGGGAACCCTGGAAATGAGGTCTGTGATGAGTGGCTATTTGCATCAATCAGACTTGAGCCTTTCTGGGTATGCCCCAAAAAACATAGCTTAAATCTATGGCTAGAGCTTGAGGCCTTATAGGGTGGAGAACCTGATGCCCACCAGAGATTTTGAACTACAACTCCCATAAGCTCCAGCCCAATGGTCAGGGAATATAGGAGTTTACTATGCACAAAAACATGCCTTTTGGGAGGTATTTCATTCATGTTCTCTGTATGTCCCTAAATCTTGGCACTGAAGCCAGAACTGACCCTTGCGATTAGAGAGCAGACTGCCACAATGGGCCTGCTAACCCGTGACGGAACTAACAGTTCCCATCAACCAGCCCAGTTCCCATCAACCAATCGCTTAAGATGATTAACAGGCACGGATCTATGGTAAGTCTGGCTGGAAATGCCCATCAGTGCCAGACGATCATGCTCAAGTGGCAGCTGCCCCCCACGCACGCATGCATGCGTGCGCGCATGCGCATGCCCTCACATCTCTCTCTCTAGACAGCTAGATGGATCGGGATAGCATGTGAATTTGCTCCATGTTCCTTGCCCTATACATGTCACCTTTTCTCAAACAAGATTCATTGCAGTATTTGGTACACCTGATGGCACTCATGCCAAAGCTACAGATTTTTTTTACCTTTCTTCCTTGCCTTGACAGCTTCTTCCCACAATCTCAGGGTCTCTACCTGTTTTCCAGGCCAATTTGTGACATGCTGCTGCTGCTGCTGTTGCTGCTGCTGCTGTTGCTGCTGCTGCTTCTGGTTGTTGCTCTCTTCGTTCATGCAAGCTATTCCAGCCAAATATATTGCAAAGATACACATACAGACAAATGCAAATTAGAGTTTTGCCCATCGAAAAGAAGCAACAAAGCCATGCTCATAGACACTTGAGAAAACAGGGCTTGGTTTAAGAGCTGTAAATCAATTTCCAAAATTATCTCTTCATGATTTTGAACAAAAAGTGCTTTGTTGGTGCTGGACCACCATTTTAAAGGCAAGACGTGAAAGAAAAGCATAAGACTACACCTTTCTAGGTTTATTAATGTCAAGGTTTTCAAAGAAACAATGGGAGAAATGTGATCCCTGCTGAATTGCATGCGTACAGATTTTGGAAATGATCCTTCATGGCTAGCAGGCAGTGACCTGGATTACTTATCATAGCTACACAGAGTTTGTTGAAATATGCAGGAGTAAGTGAGCAGACAGACCCCTGGCCATCCATTCCCACTGACCCAAATTATGGGATGTCTCAACCTTAAATTGTAGGTTGTTGGAGGAAGAATCATCAAGACTTATAACCCAAGAACAAATCCCACTGCTTGTTTAGTTCAGCAGGAATCGGTATGTGCACTTTTGCATCATTCTTAGCAATTCACAGTTAAAATGAAAAACTGGGTTGCTGCAAAACACGGAACGGACCAGCAGCTTGTCACCTGCCCTGTTTTCCATGCTCTTCCACGTCCTTACACGGCAGCATGAAAACAACTGTTGTGAAAAGAACTGTCTTGTTCGTGTCCACAGGTGTGCCCCAAAAGTAGCACAGGTCTGCCTTTTGCTATTTAGTCATTAGATTTCTATCCTGCCCTTTTATCTGTCGAGGAGTTCAACATGAGCTACGTAACGTTCCTCATCCTCTCAAGTCAGGCAAGAAAGTGAAGCCAACAGGAGGAAGAGATATCTTACATCCAGTTGCTGGGGTTTACCAGTTCTAATATGCAGCACTGTACAAATGCACACTGGTCATTCAACCTATTCTCCCGCTACAACCAGGGTGTAGAAACCCAACTTCATACAGGATACGGAATAATGGGCTTAAGTTACAGGCAGCTAGATTCTGACTAGAGATTGGGGAAAATTTCCTGATGTTAAGAGCACTGCAGCAATGGAACCAATTAGCTAAGGAGGCTGTGGCCTTTTCCACACTGGAGGCATTCAAGAGGAGGTTAGACAGCCATCTGTCAGACACCCTAACCTTCTGTCCTCCCATTGAGCAGGGAATTATTTGATTTATACCCAACTTTTTCCTTACAACAAACTCAAAGCAGCTTACATGATTCTCCTGCTACTCACAATCTTACCCCCACAACAACAACCCTGTGAGGTAGGTTGGGCTGAGTGTGTGTGACTGGCCCAAGGTCACCCAATTGGCTCCATGACTGAGCTGGGGCTAGACCCCAGGTTGCCTCAGTCTCAGCCCTGCACTCTACACCACACCTGCTCAATGGCCTTAACTAGGCCTCTTGCAAATCTACTATTCTACGGATACTCGTTAAGGAAGGACAAGATGTACAGACAGGATCTCTTCTCAACCATCTCAGAGTGCAGGACACAGAACAAAGGGCTCAAGTTGCAAGAAGCCATGTTCCGGCTAGATATCAGGAAAGTTTCCTGATTGTTAGAGTACTATGGCAATGAAATTGATGACCTAGGGAGGCTGTGGGCTTTCCTACACTACAGGTATCCAAGATGCAACTGGACAGCCCTCTGAGAGGGATGGTTTAACTTGGGAGTCCTGCACTGAGCAGGGGTTGGACCCAATTGCCCTCTGGCCCTTTCCAGCGCTATTATTTTATGACTGACTGATTCTAGTGTTCACTGAGGTGGAAAAAGCCAGATGATCCTGGATACATGTGAACTTACATTTTTCTTTTATATCTGATTACACTTTTATCTAATCCAGCATTATTTGCCACTATCACAGTAACTAGCAACTGCCAGAGTTTCCCATCTATCACTAGTGTACTCCAGCTTGTACTCAGCTCCGACTTAGGAGGTCCAGCCCTTTTGTCCGTGTCACATCCATTCTGATGAACAGGGATGTGCCCTTGAAAGTAAAGCAAGCCTGACACTCCCACACATAATTTAATGCATCTTCTGGGATAGCTGGAAGAGATCTCAAAGCCAGCTATTTAAAGTCCAGTGTGTTTTCAAACAGTTTGGAGAAAGGCAAGAAGAGCAAGCCCCTATCATTAACTCTGCTGCATGGGAGAAATATAACCTACCGCTCCCATTCATGAAGAACTGGCCAATATAGTTTGTTTTAGATTATTACAGAGTTGTCCCACTTCTATTCTTTGGGCCAAATTCGTTCTGCTTAGACCACAAACCCCTTATGGGACTCCATTCCTTCATGCACCTGTCCTGGCTCTTGTAATGGGGTGTGGGTCCTTGTAATTTAGTGCCAGACCTCCCCGGTGGAAGACTGCCCGCTGCTTTCTGGTTTATGTGGCTGCCACTGTGATAACAGGGAATTCTATAATATCGTTTGTCAAAAGCGGGCCTATGACTTCCACCAAGACAGGCTGGGATGTGCATGCAAGTGATGAAGAGTGGTGCAGCTGCTTTCACCAGTGGTTACAACTGTGACTAAAACCAATGAAAGGTTGGTGACCTAGATGTGCTGACGGAGTGCACTGCAAGGCAGACCGATCAGGGAGTGGGTGGGCAGAGCTCACATGGAATAATTTATGGAGAGGTGGGAGATTGAGAACTTCTGCCATAACAGCTTGTACAAGTATTCAGACATCGCTCAATGGAAACTGACAGTAAGCTCCTGTCTTCCTAGCCAAGGTGAGTTATGCATTCGTGTACCAAACAATTCCAATATCATATATTACAAGATATCCAGTTTAAATAATTACTACTCACAAGCAGGGAGATGTAGATTTTCTTGCTTGAAAAAGCCAAATTCTGCAATTAAGATGAATAAATGTAAGTGAAGCAACCCTCGCCCTGAATAATTTACTGAACACACAATTTATCCCTGCTAAAAAAAAGCTAGAAGACTTCTTTTCCATAACATGGGAAAGGGGTGGGTGACAGAACTGGCAGTAGAGGAATGGCAATAAATGGAGGGGAGTCGGGCAGGATAGCGAAGGGTGAACACAGGTTTCTCTTTTGGCCAGGGAAAACTTGGTTTAAATCCTTGCCAAGGCATGAAGCTCAGCAAGCAAGTCTATCAGTCTAGGTGTACCTTCACTGGGTTGTTTTGAAGAGAAAGGAAAAGAGTATGTTCTGAACAACCCACCTGAATCCCTTCGTGCAGGGCAGGTACTATGCAGAAACCCTTCTCCCAAACCTCTGGAACACCACATGGACTCCTGTCTCTCAATATTTGAACAGACAGGGGAAGATCACACATTTACATTTTTCTTTAAGCTAAACTCACTTATCTTTTCTTACTTGTTCTATGTTCATTGTCATCTACACACACACAAAATCCCACCACAAGTTAGCCAGTACAACTTTCTCTAAAAGTCATGTCTGATCTATACAAGCAGCGGAATGAGGCGATACAGCCGACTTTTATCGCTTGACACTGCACATGGGGAGGATTCCATATCTGAGTGCTTCACCATGGAAGAAGTTCTCTGCAAGGAAGAAAACCCCTAGCATAACGGGGAGAAAGGTCTGCTGCAGACACCTCCTTGCTGTGCTAGTTTTCTGCTTGCAGAACAGCTGTTTTTAATATATGAGGGAGTATTCAGAAAATGGTATTCCCTCACCTTCATTCTATCACTTCAGATCCCTATCATTTCATTCCGCTGCATGTGTAACCTCACCTCTAACCTTAGAGAGCCAACAGTAACAGAATTCCTAGGCATAATCTTCACTCACCACAGTTAACAAATGAGGTACTTATTTACAAACACATGCTGGAGTTCTGTAGTTTCTATAAAGCAACTTAAATATATTTATTTTATTTATTAAAAGCTTTTGCATGCTGTCCTATTATACAAGATCTCAAGATGGCTTAATACTGGAAATCTACCCTGGAAAGGGCTCCACAAAGAGTCAAATTGGACTCTACGCTGAATACCCTTTAAAGTGGGGGCTGAAGTGAATTACCAGGCAGTTAATTCCTTTGGGCTCCAATGAAAATCTTGGTCTTAAGTAACCCTTTTGGAGGGAGAGGTTTTTCATTCTTTGCACTGCTAAAACATGACTGGGCATTTCAGCTGCAACAACACTGAGATTTATCTTTAATGCTCTAAGATACTGCATCAAGATGATTTAAAAAAAAAAAACTTGTTTAGTCATCAGTGTCAGCATGCCAAACAAACCGAAGCAGCAATTCAAAGCCTGCTGAAATCAATGGGATGCCTTCTACCAACTCCAAAGAGCTTTAGACAAGGTCTGGCATCCTATATACCAATTCTGGCAGGCTTTCAGGTTCCTTGTGGCAAAAGATAAAAACCTAGAAGCCTCCCATACTGATAGAGACTCCCATCCTCACAGGTCTTATTTTACAGAATCATTTCACTATTCCATCCTTAGTATACATAAAACAGAATTGTGTCATTGAAACGTTAAAGACTCTGCATGCATTTTATTCTACTGGCGGTTAAGGGGAGGCACTGAATATGACTTTGGAAAAAGTATCCACGTACTTTTATTGATGCCTTGCTTACAGGTATTACAGTTGATACTTTGGCTCTGCCCATGAGTCTTTAAGTGGCTGGTAATATATGCCGCACTCAGAAGTTTACCACAGATATTACAGGACACCTTTCCTTCATGGCGCACCATGTGTGTCCGCAGCCTGTCTTTGGTGGCAAAGGCAGCTGTGCAGGTCTATATGGAAAGAAACAGAACGTTTAAGGCAGGCAGCCTAACTTACCCAAATACTGATTTTAAGTGCATGCTTTTAAATGTTAAGATGACCTTTAATAAGTCTTTTCGGCTCACAAGAAAGCCCAAAGGAAGAATCCAGTAAAATTCATAATATAACGCTCCCCCAAACAAAACTTTGCAACATAGGCCAGAATTGTTCTCTGGAACATTTTTGCCACCTTTAGTGGGACTAGCAAGATCAGCACCTGAATCCATTTCTGCAACTGAATACAATAAAATTGACTGTGCAAGATGAAGATGCAGCCAGTAAGTTTATATATGATGGGATTTTTTAAAACTGGGTGTCTCAACTATTCTTGTAACGCTCTCCAAATTATTGTTGCATCTATCATCCAAAGGTTGATTGGCTCTTCCAATAAGCATCGTGGAACCTAATGAATATTTTAGGGACGAAAGCAGAACTTTCATTTTAAAAACGAAGACAACCTCAAATACCAAGTTGGCATGGAGCTTATAAATGCTAGCAACACATACAGGTGGTCTCTTGTACGGATATCCTGATAGCACCTTAGGTCATGATTTTTTCCATTCTGCAGGCACATTCAGTTAAATAAAAATCAGACAAAAACCAAACACGAATGCATGAAGAGTCATTTCTTTTAATTCAGAATACTTGATGGCCATACTGAGTCACTAAGAACAAGCTGGGGCATGCATGGATCAAGCTAAACAGAAGAATACAGTCAACCAATCAAGCCACCCAAGCTATTTTGCTTGCCTTTGAGCCCAGTAAATAAGCTGACATGTTATTAGCCCACATAAAAAAGAACCGCTAGCAAGCCCATACATGAACCTGGTCTGCCCTTAGTAGCACACTGAAAACCTGAGTGGGGTGTGACATCGGAAAGAAGAACCACTCTTCTTCACTTTACAAAAATTTCCCTGTTCGGCTATCTTACTTGCAGCCAAGTACTTAAGTTTCATTTTCACCACTAGAACTAGTTTTCAGCACCAAGCCCTGAATTGGTTTACTTACTGCAAGAGCTGCTGACAACTGCTTGAAACAAGCCTGGTGCCCTTCACATGCACTAGACTACAAGTCCCATAATGCCCAGCCAGAATGGCTGTTATGGGAATGGCAGTCCAACACATCCAGAGGATACCAAGTGGGTATGTCATATGAAAAACTCAAAGTGTAGGTAGGGTTTTGGGATTAATCTTTCCTGTTCTACAAGAAATGGAGGACAAGACTGAAGTTAGATGGCTGTACTTCAATACAAATGGACCACTCAAGCAACTTAGAAGTATACAATTTTGCTCAAGCATAGAGGCAAAATACAGGGCCCTAATACTCTAACCTATAGCAAACTGCCAAGGATTGATACTGGGGTTGGCAGCATCAGGACCCAATTCTTCCTGTTTGAGTCCCCGTGATTTTTCAAATCCAAGCAACAGTATGAAGCAGTTCAGCCAAAACCCCAAGTAGTTAAATTCTATAGATCATCAAAACTCTTACTTGGCATTTGAAGGGCCTCTCTGTGGAGTGAACATGTTTAACATGACAGCTTAAGTGATCGGGCCTGTAAAAGGAAGAAAAGTAGAGGCACAAAAAAACGCATTGTTACTCATAAACACAATACCGATCACCCATACAATCAAAAATTCTTTATAAGAATTTTTAAAAGCACTCCCAAATGGTACAAATCCACAATTCCCATGCTATAAGGAACATAATATTGCCAATGTCCTTAGAGTGCTCATCAGAGACTACATGGAAATCAGTTGTCAGTGGCTACTGGGAAGATTTGCCCTGGAAAGGTTTAGAAAGCGTACTTTCCCTTTTAAAGAAACATACAAAATTGACTAGCCATTTACTTCAAACTAGAGATTACCCAAATAAAGCAGTATGTTAATACTGCCAGATTAGTACTCCCCCCACAAGCAGAGGTTCAAATTTTCGTTCCCCAGCCTGCTCACGCTCTTTCACCTCTGCACCTCAAACTAACACTGAAGTTATTTCTGGTTTAAGACCCCAGGCAGGCTCTCCATTTGCTTAACAAAATGGAGATCTGCTTTAGATTCCTATTTGGAGACAGAAGACAGTTCTTGCTCAACTCTTAGCCACCAACCCTCCCCACTCTCGCTTTCCTGACAGCTCCCCCCAAACCCCACCCCCCTCGCGATCACGGAATGAAAATCCAATACTTGAGCTCGCCTGGGATTTTCTACATGGTACCTCGAAAAGCCTTTTCCACAAACACCACAGGTGTAGGGTTTGGTGATGCCACCCTCATGAGACCTCACGTGATAGGTCATACGGTCCTTCCTTTTGAAACGCTGATTGCAGATCGGGCACTCAAAAGGCTTCTCATCGGAGTGGGACAGCTTGTGCCTGTTGAGGTGGTAGACATCACGGAAGGCCTTGCCACACATTTCACAGGCGTGGTTCTTTTTGACGGGTTTGCTGGGTTTCTTCACCGTCTGTGTCACTGGCATGGCTGTGGCCCCAGCGCTGCTGCTTGGGTTAGTGGCAGAGGAAGACGTAGTGACGGTTGACAGGATGCCCGCGATGGTCGAAACCAGAGATGTCCGGCTGTTGTCGCCTGCAATGGTTGAGATTAGGGGTACCATCGTGGCAGGAGCTTTCTTTGGCCGTGACACTAACTTTATCCCTGTGTGGCAGGATTCGTGGCGCCTCAAATGATAGCTGTCCCTGAAGGCCTTGCTGCAGTACGTACACACAAAGGAGGTTTTCGGTTTCTCCTTTTTAATCCCAACAATGGCATCTTTTAGCGTTTCTGGTGGGGGCTGAGGTTTCTGCGTTATCGGCAAAGGTAGGATTGGCTTCTGGTCAGGGGGCTCGACAGCAGAGCTTAGGAGTGGAAGCAAACTGTTCTGCGCTGCTTGCTGTTGGTGATGTGATGCTTCATGTGCCTAGAATCAAAACATTCGCAGTCAGAACTGACAGATGCATGGTTTAGCTTTGGTAAAGCAGGAAGGCTCATATTTATGGATGTGGATTTATCATATGCCCTAATCTGGTAGGATTTGTTTGAATGTGGAGGACTTTCCCTGGCTAGAACAGATCTGAGGGGCAGTCTGTCCCTAAAATGTTAGCATTTAAATGATACTCAACACACAGAACTATGAAGATAAGGACAAACGGAGGATTCAAGCTGCACATCTAAGATGATGAAAGCAAACGTCCATGTATTTTAACTTGCTGAACTGTAGTACAACCAAGCCTGAAATGTTTACTACCTCCCACATGCACCCAGACACTGGAAGTGAGGAGAAAGCACAGAGTAAGAGAACAGCAACCAGCAGAAGGAATAAGAAACTGTAAGGCAGCCTTGCTCAATCTGGCGCTCTTGGTAATGTGTTTCCTAGAATGTACGAAGTTGTAGTCCAACACATCTAGAGAAAGCTAGGTTGGGGGAAGCTGCTGTAAGGCATCCAAATTAAAACAGATCCTTGCCTAGTTAGGTATGATTCCCAAGTTGTCAGACTCAGTTGATGTGCTTTCAGATTTTCTCATAACTGTTGAGAGCAAGAAACATGTTATAACAAATGCAACTTGTTCTCAGGTACGGCCAACCTGCAGCAGAGTCAGCCAGTAGCGTGTGGCACACCTTTTACAGAATTATTTATCTTGGGAGATCCGCCAAAATTCATCCTTTTCTATTTTTAGGAAGCAGATGAAGACATTTGTTCAAGAAAACCTTCTTTACATTTATTCCCTTTGCTACAGCCTTGTGAATGAAGACTGACATTTGGTCAGGATTCGGGGGATAAACAGAACCATGTACACTGAGTTTTCCTGGCTTGGTGAAAAACTAGAGCAACACGGAATCATAACTGGACAGCATCAAGGGGAGAAAGGGCTATAGAACTAGCTTATTCTTCTAGATCCTTCTGTACTGCAGCTCTCCAGAGCAGAACAGCAGCAAGAGACTGGATCTATATTGTGGTATACATTAAGAATCTCATACTTTTACACTGACTTGTGGCATATTGCCCAAAGAGGGGAGAATGCCAAAAATATCCTATCTTGCAAGGACAGTTTATACCCAGTATCAGTTTCACTTGTACCAAAATCTTAACCATCACTCAATTTAGGAAGCATCTAAACTCATCACTGTGGGAACTAGAACACTGGACCGTAATTGACAAACAGACCAGGAACAGTAAGTAATGTTAGCCCTCTTCACACACAACTTACAACTGCCTTCTGTATTTAGTCAGGCCGGAGCCACACTTGTGGATTCTATCACCTAAGACTGGATTGTGTGAACTGAGAGCCACTTCAGGAATTAAAAGGTGGAAGGAGAAGCCAGTAGAAATGGCATCTGAAAGGGCAGAGGAAAGCAATACCAAACATTTGGTTCCTGGTTGCCATTTCCCACATACAGTAGCAGTGGAAGTCAAGCTGCCACTGATGCCAGAGAAAACTAAGTGCACCTCACTCCTTTTTGGTTTTTAAAATTCACAAAACCTTGTAAGAGAAAGCAAGACCCTGTTCTTTAACCATACAAGCCAAGTGCACGTAACAACGAGTGAGCAGCACGCTGGTTTCCAAACTACCTACCTTCAAGGGACTCTTTCCATTTTGTTGGCTGTTGATGAATGCCTATGGGTTGCAGAAGATGAGGTGCATTCTCAAATGAAGTTCAAAGGAACCCCCATAATCTACAGCTCAACGGCCAAGTACACACTGCACGTGCAGAAGGTCCCAGGTACAATCCTGACAGCCCTAAACTTCTCTCAGATGACAGGTCTCTCTGACACCCTGAATGGTAGCTGCTAGGTACAGCAGACGGCACCAGGCTAGGTACACAAGGAGCCCAGATCTATGAACCAAGTGCAGGCCTTACAGCCTGGTCACAACCTAAGACACAGGTGGGCCACCTGCAGCCTGGCGGATGCATCAGGTTACAGATCCCATCCCTCCTCACCACTGAGTATGCTGGCAAGGAAGGAACTGTGGCTCAACTAGGCCAGCAGAAACCCCAAGGCTTCATCCATGGCATCTCCAAATAGGGTGAAGTAAGAATCCAGTCTGAAATCCTGGGAAGCAACTGCCAGTCCATGTCAACAATGATGAGCTGGGCAAACCAGGGGTCTGACACCAGACTTTTCTGGTATTTCAGTTACCCGTCCATGCCCTGTAAGAACCAAATATGAGCAGCATAATACAGAGGGGGGCACTTGGATTTACTAGCAGATCTGTAGGGGATCTGTAGCATACCAGCAAGGATTTGTCTCTCAACCATTTCGTGGTAGCAGCAACAAAATGACCCATTCTCTCAACCCTAACCTATAGTACTGAAATTAAATTTTGGTAACTGACAGTGATGTTGTAAGTGGAAGAACTGAGAGCTCTCTCCAGGGGTAAAAATGGATTCATTACCCAGTCCCAGACTCTGGCTGTGAATGTGGGGATTCTATTTAAAACAAAGTAGACACATGCCTGAATTGCTCATCTCTACCCTAGTAAAACCTTCCCCAACTTGCTGCAACACATCTGGAAGGCACCAGCTTGGGGAAGGCTGTTCTAGAATGACTACACTTTGCAGTAAGGAGTAACAAGCATCTTCCAAGCATACTTGTCTGCCATTTACTGGCCTGGGGAGTTTCCAGAGGAGGTCACTGTCTGAAAATCACTGCACTCTTAACATTCTTGAAGTAGCCAACTTGACAAGTTCGCCATGTCACCTCCAAAACAACCAAACCACTGAGGTTCCACTTTTTTTTTTGCCTAGACTGTTCTTCATTCCTATGAATAGAAAAGCGAATCCTCAGCATAAGAACTGAGGTAATGGACACGAGTTATGTAACCCATAGTGAGTTCCCAGAGAGGAAGATAAGCCACTTGCTTTCTGAACTCCGACTCTCATCAGAAACAGACATAGCACAGTGTACGTTACAGCAAACCATTGTTTTAACTCCCTGAGGGGAACCATTCTTGCAGCTAATGACTGGGTGTATGCCACAATGCTCAACATATTGCATGATCTCTATCTTAATGACAGCCTATTTGGTTAACTACAAGTTGCAAATATAATTATAAATGCCCAGTCTACTCTATTAGATTGTGGATACATTAGGAGGGGATAAAAACTGTTGACACCAGCCCCTACCATGAGAGGCTGCTTCAGAATGCCCTCCATGAATCAGTCTGCAGCCTCAGCCAGCCAAAGGAAGAGCCAGTCTATCTAAACAAATACTTGCAAAAGCTTTCCTACGCTGGAACTCAGCATGGGAACTGCTTATACCTGTATTTGGAACTCACTCCTCCTGAAAACAGAGTATGAGAGGAAAAAATGCATATGTATAGACCAGGGTTGGCATCACAAGGCTCCCTTCACGAAACAGCAATAGGTCTGCCCGCAAAATCAAGCAAGAAACCAAGATGAAGTGTTACTGAGGCCAAGTGGAACTTATTTTTAAGCAAAATTTAACCTTTCGAAGGCTCTGTAGTGGTTTGCTGATGAACTTCAGCAGTAAACTGCCTATTTTTATTTTTGCTGTACACACATGGAAACTCGCAAGTGGCCTTTGGATGTGTCAAAATTGTGTGCCCCTGATATAGACAGATAGTATAAAAGAATGACTAAAATATTCCAGGCCCGTAGAAGTGTGCCTCTTCTATCAGCAACTCCTTGGGGAAAATATTTAAATCCACAAATCCAGTATCTAGTGATTTTTAGAGGGTATAATACAGAGGGTTCCTACAACCACAATTAGCAGATGATCTGGATGTCATCTCACAGGTACACAGAGGACCGGGCAAACTAGCAAATTGGCTACAAAGACATGAAGAACAGATTATTTGGAGAAACCTCTATAAAGGACACTCACATGGGATAAAGCTCTGAGATACGGGGCATGGCATTTGGTTGCATTTTAAATTTTCATTGTCGAACCCTGTAAAGAGCTGGAGCCCAGTTAGCAGGAGCAAATGGGTCGATTCTCACAGCAGAAGTTTTCAAATGGATGCTGTCCTGAGCCTCGTAAGGAATATGCATAGACGCATAGCTGAGACAAAAGAGCTCTTCACAGTGCCCTGTATCAGAGAGGGGACTAAAGCAAGGGAGCGATGAAGACAAATGATAGCTGCTCCTCAGTTCTGAAACTTGGCTCTCCCAGCAGAAAAAAATCCTATATACACAGTTGCCTAAAACGCTACTTAAGAACTAGAAAGTATTTTCCTAACCATACCCTTTTTAACAAGAGGCAAGATTTGGCAGCTTTCATAAACTAAGATAGAAGAAAGCTTTGCATATTAAGAAAAGTCTTTACAAACCATAAGCTCTGACCTTAGGGGACAGAGAATTCAAATACTGATACCTTAAAGACACACTTAAATATGTCAGAGTACAAGATGACCCTGAATGACTGCACAGAAAGACAACTATACATATTATGTCATTACTCAGCAATTAGTCTGCTTATACCTGCTCTGAATTTATCCTACCTACCCCCAACGCCAGATCCTATGGCCTTTTGGTATCTTAGTTTGCCCAAACCAATTGCAGAGCGAATTTAAGGTAAGTCTACACATACTGCCTAAAACATGTCACCATTTTCTTCTGTCTGTCTGTCTGTCTTTGTTGTTGTTGTTGTTGTTGTTGTTGTATGCACTTCATTATATTTGCTTTCTAGGGGATATTTTGGACCCACAAAACTACAGACCCACATGTTTACTAGGCATATTTCCTTTCCTATAGTGGGATTAAGCAGAATCAGTCACAAGCAGGTTGCTCTTAGTCTGAATCAGATCCTGGCGTTACTGAGCAAAACAGCTGATTTTGAAGTCATCCAACAATCCTCAATGAAGCTCCAATAAAAGTAGCTTCATTTTGCCAATGGAGGCGACAAAGTCACATTCTACTCTCTATGGTCCACGTTTAGGGACAGCAATCACAGGATCAAGGACAAGAATGTAAAACTACGCCTTTCACAAACATTTACTATTGGAAACAGTTTTAAGGAGATCTGCAAGCTATGCTGAAGGTACAAACACAGGGCAGATTCCAAAGAGTTGCTTTGACTCACCCAAAGGGCATGCGCCAGCTTTTATAAAGTGTTGAGCCCTCTGAACAGAAAGTCAAGATGCACCATCAGAGACTGGTGTTGAAACAGACTTTTCAAAATCAGTTTGATATGCAACAAAGAGCGCTTCTATCTGAGGAAGACCAAGTCTAAACACCCACCCTAGGCCTCATTAAACCAGTTAGTTCTTTGGATCCCAGTCCCACTCTGACATTCAAACTTCTCATGAATTGCATAATTTCAACAAGATGCTTTCACTGAGATAATCTGACTCACACCTACCAACTGGCCTCTTAGACATGGGAAGGCCAAAGGCAACATGTCTCCAGTGACATGGTTTTACCCAGCCTCCACAATCATTTTATACCAAAACACCACCAAGCTGAGTACAGAAGCAAATAACTTTTTTAAAGTTTCCTCTTCTGCCATTTTCTACTATATTGGCCAAATAAAAGCCAACGCAAGCAAGGTGAAATTTCCAGCCAGTTTTAGTGAAGAATGGGGGAGAAACTTTTCTGTCCTTGCAAAAAGATGGGCTTGGGAGAGTCCAGCCTACCATTATTATGAAGTAGGATGTTGCTGTCAGACTTTTTAAAATTTTGAGATACATCTTTGGGAGTTTATCAAGGCCAGAAATGGCTACCAATTTATTTCTACCACCAGCATTACCTTTAAAAAAAATAACAGTTTATTGGAGATGGAAGGGAAAACCCCAGTACACACATGATAACCATGGGGGGAGGGATTAAACCCTGGATTACCATATCAACATCCTAGCGCACTCAGTTTGATTTATCCTGCCAATGTAAGCTGCTATCAACGAGTGAGTCTCAATCCCTGGCTCGGTTCGCATTACATTCAAACAAGGAACTCTGGCTTGTCTCTAGCACAGCAAACCAGATTTATGACTCACTGTTCCTGAGTTACAACTCTGGCTTGTCAGGAAAGAGGCAAGCCAGAATTCCTGATTCAGATGCAACGGAGGGTTACTGGCATGTTTAGCTGCTTACACTTGGCAAGAGCCAAGCTGGAGCATTTGAGCCGCATGCACTAGCATGCTGGCACACTCCTGGTAATCCAAGGTTAAAATAAAACCCCATGGTTGCTGTTCTGTGTGAAAAGGGACCCAAGTCAATGGGCCTGCTTTGTCCTTTAGACAGAAGGGGAGGTATTTTCCCAGCCTTTACTGATTCAGCACTGTTGCACAGAACTTGTTTGTCTAAGGAAGCCTCCAAAACCTCAAACACGGCCTGCATTTCATGCACATGTGCATTTTAATAAAGCAGCCTGGAGAATGGATGAGCAGAATGTGAACTCAAGGCTGCACTTTGGATCAAGGAGCTGAAACACGGCAATGATCCTCTATTAAAAATAGCCGCAGCAGCACCAGATGGATAACACTTTATGGGCAATAAAATGCATGCAGTTAAGAATACTACACTGGAACACCATCTCAGCCAGGCTCCAACTACACTTTGCATTTCCCTGTTCTCTGTTGCACAAGCTATTTAAATAATTTCATATGCTGCAAATACCTGTTTAGGGACATCAGACACAACCCTCCTCCACAAATCCCCTCCCCTCTCTGAAGCTCCTGACACTATTCATTTTTCCATCACTCCCGTCTTCAAACTGGACAAACTGTCTTCAGAGAGACAGGAACTTGGCCTGACACACCATGTCCCTCACAAGGGAAGTCACAGGGTGAGTAGAACACTTAGCCTCCCAATTGAGAGAAGAAAGAGCAGCACAATTAGAGGAATCCCCATTATCTCAGAAAACAGCCGAGGTTCCCCTGCATGCTGCTCACCCTGCCAATCAGGAGGGGAAAACAAGCATGATGGGGAATCCCCACTGAGGATGCTCCGATGTGGCCTGAAAGCCTCTAGTAGCTGACCGCACTGTAAGATCACACGGTATACATTTCAAGGAGCAACGGGCCAGACTAATAAGGGCCAGAATCCTTTCAGACAAGGTTCAAGCAGCCACATTTTATGAGCCCCTTTCAGCCTTACCAACCCATTAAACTCAGCATGGTTATCATGCACTTTGTCTTAATAAAGTAGCATAGCCATTAGAATCTGAAACTCAATATATTCATGAAGCTTTCTGCTATGAAAGTCATTCGCACAAGGATACATATCTTGGGACCAAGGCAGCCCAGCTTGTTAACTTTGCTAAAACTGGTAAATCAATATTACTTATGGCAGAAAGTAACATCCTGTGATTCCTACTGATCCCTTGCATTAAGGCCTTCTAAAAAGAGATTTAAAGTTAAATGAAAGCATGAAGAATAAAACAGCATCTAAGTGTCTTCTGTTAAGTCACTTTTATTCACTTTGAGAGTATGGTTTTATTAGGGCTAGTGTACAAGTCTGCTCTGGGTTTCTTTTCTACCCCTGTGACTTCTAAAATAAAACAAAACACTGTTTCATGACCCAGGATGGAAAGATTTGGCATTGTGAACTTCCACTGCCAGAGGCAAAGTATTTTTTTTTAAACACTGAAGCCTTGATGTTAGAGCTCCAATTAACATCAGTGAGTCATACCTGCTATTTGATGGACGGTATCTTCCTTATTAACATGCAACCTGCACTTTCTAGGCAGATATAATACTGCTTTAAGATACATACCAGTGTGTAGACTAACATAACTCATTTTGAAAACCTGTTCCTTGCCTCAAGTGTGAGACACCTCAGTGCATAATCAAGATTAATATACTTTGAAAGGTGGCACAAAATCCCCCATGCATTGACTTTTCACTTACAATATGAAATACCGTACAAGTTTTCTTTAGCAAGCCCTAAAAGCCATGGGGAGTTTAAGGAAACTGAATGCTTGACCAAAACTGTCTGTGATTCTTAAGCATGAGACCAGAATTGGGGAGGGGCCAGAGTTCACTATCAGATCACATGCTTTGCAGGTGGGAGATCCTAGATCCTCAGCATCTCTAGGGGGCTGATAAACCAGTCATCTTTACTGCCCTAGATGAACCAAAGGTCTGACTCAGTACAACGCAACTTCCTATATTCCTGTGTAAGGAAGACCTTGTAAGGAAGACCCATTCAGTGGAAAAAGTGGAGGAAAGAAACAACTATTCAAGTTTCTTCAACTTTCATTTAAACTTTCACATCGAAACAGAGGTACCAGGCAAAGAACAACAAGATTCTCCATCACTTTTCATAGTGAAAAGTGCTAGGTTGCTCTGGCATGCATCCAGGTGCTTTGGACTACAGCTCCCATGAGCCTCGGCAGGAATGGCCAATGGTGAAACATTATGGCAGCTATTGTCTGAAACATTAGGAAGGAGTCAGTTTTAGGGAGGCTGCTGCTAGCGATCCCACTAGCTTTATGATGGGCCTGGAGGACTCTTGATTATATTAAACAAGGAGGATGCCATTCAGAAGCCCCCATGCAGGCAAGTTAAAGAGTTGATTCCTTCATGTATGGATGGAGAAATGTGACTCTCCAAACATGCTTAGCCTGCAACATCCTTCATCCACCATTACTGGCTCTGCTGGATTTGACTGATGGGGGTTGCAGTCCAACACATCCTGCTCCTGCCTTCAAATACCAAACTGAGCCAAGCTGCTTTTAATCTAACTACGGAGGTGATCAACTGCACAGCAATGGAATGCATTCTTGTACAGACCTATCAGTAATGATCCATTCTATGAAGTGGCCGTAAGGAATGATCCAGTGAGAAAGCAGGATGAGGGGTGGTGGGAAAAAAAAGGTCCTCTAACCCATGCAATGAAAATGTTTTTCCAGTAACAAGGCTCACAATGTTAAATTCTCAAAAAAAGGGGGGGGAGAATTAACTCTTAATTGAACTACAGATATTTTATTGCTGTCATCTGCCTAGGGTAAAAAATTTCATACCAAGTACACAAAAATAAGCCATTCAAAAGCATTGCACTAGTTATGGGCTCAAACAGATTTTTCAACCGCATGTTTTAAGCCTGATTCCAGAAACTGGGCACCTAAGCAAGTGACTCATCTTTGTGCTTGGAAGTCTTTTTTTCCCTTTAGAACAGAAAGACTGCAGTGCATTTGCCTCTAGATTTATTTTCTCGCTTCATGTTTTCAAACTGGAGTCATGCTTTGTATTTTAAAAAGAACAGAAGACTCAACGGGCAAGTGACGCAGGCCTGTAATTTGCAGAAAGGATTATTTTACCTTCAGGAAAGAGGGTGGAGAAGAGGTATTGCAATTAGTATACTTTTTCAAACTAAAAAAGGAGAATGGCTTGTAATCTAGGTTCTCACTTGGCTCGTAGATTTGAAGAGGAAGTAGTCTGGCATGCTGCATTCCTTATAGAAGATTAATGCTTCCAAGTGACTCAAGTTGCAAGCGATGTGGCTTCATTTTTACTACATTATACTCTAGCATCTTTAACAGCTCTTAAAGTTTTCCTTTTTTTTTTTTTTTTGAGAGTAGCAGGAATTACTACATGTTTAACATTCATTCAAATCCTTACTATATAAGAAAAATCCTTAGAAATTTATCTTGGTAAATTTATTAAATCAAGCTGCATGCTAGTAAATTGGTTAGAAAGCTGAACATACTCAATCTCCTCAAACTACCACATATGGTTTGCCCCAACACTTTCTTGTTAAGTCAACAAATTCCAGCTAGTAACTCCATTAACATGCTCCCCGATCAAAGCAGCCCACTGTTTGATCCCATACAGGTAAAGGGATTCCTGACTCATAACTCAATAAAAGAGTTGGCCATGAAAATTAATATATTTGTCTTTAAGGCTTGCTCAAGCAGATTTAACTTCTAAGCAGAAACAAAAATAACAGCAACAACTAAAAGTAAATAAATATTTTTAAAGAACTGTGATGTATGCTCCCCTTTCTTATTTTTCTCTGGGAACCTACAAGGCCTTTATGTGGCTGACTGGCAAAGCAAAGACAAGAATAGTAAAACTGCAAAATAAGGAGGAGAAAGTAGGGAAAGTGACAAATTTTTGAAAGAGGTAAGAGATGCAATGAAACACACAGCACAAGGAGGGTGAAGAAAAGGATAAACTGGGGAAAGTGATAAATAGAGACAGGAACAAATAATGAGAGCTGAGAAAAGCTGGAGAAAAGATGACAACATTGTGAAAATCAAAAAACACATGTTAGAAACCACAGGTATAAAGAAGAAATGCACGAGGACAAAAGGCATAGAGTGTAACAGGAAAAATGTGATGACAAAGTTCAAAAATGTGGAAATGGTTGTAAGGGAGACCAAAAATAAGTTCTGCACTTCAATAGATGAACAACAGACAGGACCAAAGGGTGGGGGGGAGTAGAATCCCATACACACAAAAAGGGAGGGAAAAAAGATAAATCATTGGCAAGAATGCAGATGCTGAATGAAAAATTAGTAAAGCAGACTGCCAAGAATGTGGAAAAAAAGGAGACAACCATAAAGGGTAACATGCTGGGGGGAGAGCAGCAGAAGTAGCAACAACCACAAAGTAAGAAATTCCAGAGTAGCTGTGTTTTCCACCACAAAGCATCCACACACAAGGACCTATGGCACCCTTAAGACTAAAGGGAAAATATTGCTGGAAAGAGGGGGGAAATGCCAATTTTAAAAACAGGCTACGAAAACATAAAAGCAAGCAAAAGAAACAGAGTGCAGAAAGGAGACACACATTATCTTTTAATAATGAAAGGCAGAATTATTTTGAGACAGGAGAAATTATTCAGATCAAACGTTACTAGATTAAGTGAAACATGCAAAGAAACCTATTATGGGGGCAACACAGGAGAGAGAGTTAAAAGTCCCAAAGAAATAAGGGAGGAAAAATACAGCAGCATCGCCACTGTGGAATGGGATGAAGAAGAGAAATAAGCAGCTGAAGAACACAAGATGGAGAGGAGATTGAAATGAGTGAAATGCGCAGAGAATCCCATTTTGCGGTGGCGGCGGCAGCGGCAGCGGGGAGGGGGGAGAAGAAAAATAAATTTAGATTCCTTGTGAAACCTGGGGAGAGGAACAAAACGATGAAAGTTGGAAGGGGAAGAATAGAGTAGCAACAGACTCTCATGGAAGCCAATTAGTTAAAATGCTAAATAATTTTCGAGAGAAAGAAAGCAGAAGAAAATCGCGGGGCAAGGAAGAGAAAAGAAGAGAGCAGAGCCTCTCATGGGGAGAGATTAGTTAAGAGTTCTAAAGAACTGGGGAAGGAGGGAAGCAAAATAAAAGAATGCAGCAGCAGAAAAAATGGTGCTGAGAGAAGGGTATGCAGAAAAGTCTCGTGGAGGGGGAGACTTCTGCAAAACCCTAAATAAGTAGAGAAACACTGAAAAAGAGAAACACGCACAAAAGAAACAATGAGGAGCTTTAAAAAAAACACAGCAGCGATAGATAGAAAACTTGGGTGGGAGGGGGGAGAAAGCGACATCGGTGAGCCAAGAAGTGCAGCCACAAGAAAGGGGGGCGAGCAGCTTTTACCAACAGCAACAACAACAATCGAAAAATAAATAGCATGAACCGATCCCGGAGCGCACAGAGGATGAAATCACCGACATGGGAGCGGAGGACTCGCAAACAAGCCACTACGTCAATCCGCTTCTTCCCTTAAAGAAGAGAGAGGGGAGAAGAGGCCGGCCAGAGGAGAGAGTTGTGCGTGCCCGTCTGGGGGCGGCGGCGCCCTCCTGCACGAGTTGCGATGGGGACCTGGCTGAAGGGGACTATTGGGGTGCTTCGCTTCGCTTCGCTTCGAGTGGGGGAGAGAGAAAGAAAGGGAGCGAAGGGCGAGCGAGCGCGCTATAGCCGGCCTCCCACCGCGTTAGCGAGCCCAGTGCATTCTCCTCCTCCTCCTCCTCCTCTTCCTCTCCACCCCCCCACTCCCGCTATTCCCCCCTCCTCCTCCTCCCTCGGCGGGGGGGAGAGAAAAAAGGGAGAGAGGCCGCCCCCCGCTGCTGCCTGACAGAACCAGCCGGCCTTATAGCTATCTCTGCGGGGCGGGCTCGTGGGGGGGGGGCGCTCGGGCAGGCGCGCGCCCGAGGCTACGGGGGGGGGGCGACGACGAGAAGCACAGAGAAGAGCAGGGACGACCTCCAGGTTTCTCCCCCCCCTTTTTTTTTGTTTGAGGTAAGTGGCGGTGGGGAGGGGGGGCAAGTTAAGGAAGGCGAGTAAATAAATAAATAAATGAATAATACCGATGCGATCAAAAGCGGTTAGTCGTTTCTTCCCTCACCTGAAAAAGGAACGCGGTCCAATTGGCCTCCATGGCTTGGAAACGGCGTCAACGGGGGGGAGGGGGCGTTTGAAAATAATAAAAAATAATTCTATTTGTTTGTGTCTTTGTGCGTGCGATATATATATATATATATATATATGCGTGTGTGTGTAGATATATATATAAATATTTCCAGGGTCGGCCTCCCTCTCGCCTCTCCTCTGCCTCTCTGTGTGTGTCTCTCTCTCTCTCTCTCTCTCTCTCTCTCTCCTCAGGCCCGGCGGCCTGGTCTTGGCGGCTGCGGCTGGCGGGTCGCGGGCGCTTGCTTCCTTCCTGCCTGCCTGCCTGCCTCGCTCGCTCTTCCCCCGCCCGCCCCCCGCCCTCCCCCGGGCCCCAGCTACATGGAGCCGACAACAAAGCACAAGCGGCGGCGGCGGCAGCGGCGGCTGTTGGTGGTGCTGCTGCTGCTGCTGCTGCTGCGGCGGCGGCGGCGGCGACGGAGGAGGAGGAGGCGGAGGAGGCGGAGGCAGAGGCGGCTCAACATGGCAGCGCCACCGCGGCCGCGCTTCCGCTAACCCCCGGGCTGTACCACCGCCTCGAATGGGGGGGGAGCGCGCGCGCGCGTGCGCGCGGCAGCGCGAGCCGCGGCTGGGCCTCCGGCGGCCCCGCGAAAGCGCGGCGTGCGCGGGTGTTGGGGGGGGGGGCGGTGCGCAAGAGGGCGAGACGGGGCGGCGGGCCGAGAGGCGCTGCGGGAGCGCGGGCGCCCCCGCCGAGGCGCGGAATGGACCGGCCGGCAGTGCTCAGGCCGCGGGCGGGGCGGGGGCAGCATAAAAGGGATTTGCGTGTGTGCGCGCGCGTGTTTTATCCTCCTTTTTTGAGCTGGGAGAAGATGGAGGGCGGGCGGGCGTGAAGGCCAGGGCTGGCCGCCCGCTGCCTCCCCCGCCCCGAGCGGCGGAGTCTCCCGTCACGGTGGAAAGGGAAACCCCTCTCAAAATAGTATCGGAGGGAGAAAGTACTGCTCCTCCCCGCTCGCGCCGCCGGCGCCGCCGCCGCCCCAGCCTGATAATGCGCGAAATGTGTCCGAGGGAAAAAAGACAGATTTTGCACCCCGTGGGGGAGAAACGCACCCCCTGGAAGGGACCCCGTGCAGCGTAGCACGCGCGAAGCCGCTCCACCATCCGCTTGCGGTGGCGGCAGCCTCCCAAAAGAACCGCGTCATCGTCGCTCTTATCTTGTTTTAAAACGTGGGGAGTTTTTTTCCTGAAATGCAAAGGTACCGGCGATATAAGCACACCGCCGTTTTAAGATTAGGCATTGCGGGTTCCGTCCGTCCAAAGCATGGCATCGATCTTCCTACTTCAACAAAAAAAAGTATTAGAGAAATGGAAGGCAGAACAACAGCATCATCACAGTATTTGACAGTATTCATAGCGTCCGCGCATATTTTTGGACCCTAGTTATTGCGAAATGCATATACTATGAATTTTTGCAAAAATTAATGCGAAAGAGACTATACTTCCCTCGTAATCTACATTTTAAGCTCTGTGCAGCCACAAAATGATTCATTTTCAGTCATTTGCCTTGCTAATTATTTTATCTTTCCATAAATAGGCCAGCACACTTGGTGGAAAGCTGTGGGATAAAACCCATTGAATTCAATAGGTCTGTGAGAGCATTGTCGCTTCTGTGATTTGCCTTTTTTCTGCTTGTCATAATGTAAATGTTTATTCTGAGATGCGGGACAGTTTGCAAGATTAACAGAACAACTGCATTCCTTTTTTCAGTACCACCTTTTGCACTTCAACCAGGAAGGAAATCAGAAATACTCTTCAAAATATATCCCTCAGTGGTTCCTGGGACATACATTTTGAAGGTTACTCAAGATCCAGGGAGCCTGGATATTAATAACCAAATTGCAAATAATTACCCTTTCATTTGGCAACATGGTGCTGTTTTTGATCTGTTCATCAACAATGATAAAAATAATTGCAGATGAGGCTGGGCGTGGGTTTTATTTTTATTTTCACATTCCTGTTATTTTTGCTTCTCACTTTGTCAAATTTGATTCATTCTCTGTAGAATGGAAGGTTGTGTCATACTAACAGACTGTATCTTTGCCACAGTTCTTTATTTAGTGCACAGATTAGGAAGCAATCCCCACTGAGCGATTCTTGAATAAGGGATACCTGGCAACCCAAATATATATCCCACCCACACATCTATTAGGCCCTGGAAATGGTGATTCAGTTGTGAAAACCACATATTGCCCTATCCTCCTCAGGGAGGAAGTTGTCTTTGAACACACAATTAAGCCAAACATTTCCACCACTTTGTAACAACCCAGAAATACAGGAAACGTGGGCAGCTACACTGGGTTTAACTATGTGGTTTATTTAATTTTTATTAATAGTTAGTAGTTTTCTAGCACCTTTTGGGGAACTGTGGGGGAACACCAAGGCAGCACAAAATCAGGACTTGCAGCCCTTAATGCAAGCTAATTAAAAGGCCTCAGCCAATAGTTCAGGGTGCCTGAATCTAATCCTTGTCTTATTAGACAAAGTCACCAAAGGGGAATCACAAGCAGTTGCACGCAAGCTCTCCCACTCAAATGGTTTGTGGATTGAGCAAAAGGACAAATTTGATTTTCCTCAGGAGGAGGAGGTTCTAAATTGCCTTTTACTCCTATATCTACCGCTACTGTCCCGTTCCATCCCAGCTTGGATTTTACCAATTTCTACTGCATTGTTTTGCAGCAAGCCATCATGCATATCAAGACCTTGCAATACTATTTTTGGAGAGTAAAATAAGAATGAGTGTAGGGCAGTGCTTTGAGTGCTGGGCAGGGAGTCCAGAGATGTGGGTTCATATCCCTCTGGGCCATGAACTTCCCTGGGTGACTTTGGGTCAGGCACTCTCAGCCTAACCTACCTCATAGGTTTGTTGTGCGAAAAAATTGGGAAAGAGGCTGTAAGCAGCCTTCGGTTCCCTGCAGGAAAAATGTGGCATATAAAGATAACAAACAAAATAGAAGAAGAGAAACAGGATGTAACAATATTTATTTAATTAGAGAACTTCTATGCCGCCCCATTCGCTGAAGCCTCGGGGCAGCTCACAACCATAATATGAGGATTATTACCACTCAGAACTTTGGGAAAATTTCACATATGTTGTTGTGCTTGTTACCAGCAACCCTGCGAGGTAGGCCAGCATTAATAATCCTGTATTGCAAATGCAAAACTGAGAAAGTGACTTCCCTTCGGCCTGCCATGAGACTTCACAGAACAGGCAACCTTCAAGGTTCCCAACTTCGCATTGTCTTAGTCTCAGTACTTACACCTCAGTACTACACCAAAACATACATCAATAGTATCAGTTCTAGTAGATTCTACATCTATTCAAAAGCCCTCTCCAACTCCACACTCTTCTGTTTGGATTTCCAGTTCCTTTAACTATCTTCTACAGCACTTCCCTAGTAGGGCTGACCTCCCCTTAAACCCTAACCAATCTCTTGAGCATATTTGCATAAATTAGCATCTGAATAGTCTTAACTTTTTTTTAGATGCCCAAGTGTGTCCCAATACACACCACCTTAGGTGCAGAATTCCCTCTTGTACCAGAATTCAGAATTGTCTCTGTGAGGCCTACCACCTGCAGCTTTTCCAAGTACTTAAATTAAATCAAACGAGAGATGCGGGAAATTCTGTCAACTATTCCTCAGTTCCCATGTATCATTTTTCTGTTCTGCTGTCTTTAACTGCCAGAGCTGTCAAGCATGCCAGGTGTCCACTGGGCTGCTTTTTGCCCCCTTAGGGGTCCATGGCTTCCCCTAAACATGTCGATGTCTTCCTGTTTCTTAAATTTAAGCATTTTCGCAATTCTGCCAGCATTCACCACCCAACTTCACTGTCCGAGTGAGCAATGAACAGGATTTTAACTCCTGCTCAGTGAATCAGAATAATTCTTTAATGGATCAAAAACTTTTTAGCCAACAGATCAATTAAGCATTGGATTAAATACAATTTCTTAGTATTTAAAACCAGGTCTGTAAAATAGAGTCATCTTGCATTTACTTACAATTGTATGTTGTTTATAGTTTAAGGGGAACCTAGTTTTTCCAATTTTGTCCATGGCGAGAAGAGAAAGCTTGTCTCAATTGTAAATCTTTTTCCTTTAAATTAAGGTTAGATCTCAGTAACGTTTAAAGTTAACTAACTTCATGCATGGGTTGTAGAGAGTTACATTTCAGGATATCTGTTTTTAAATAGTTTGTCCAACATGTACTACCAGGTACATGAGAAATATCAGTAGAATGGGCACCAAATACCAGTCAAGAACATGGTCCAATCCAGAAAGATTCCCCTCACCTAAAGTGGATCAACTTGGGCTTGGTTCACACCATATGTTGAAATAGCAAGCCCAGCCTTTGTGAAATCAGTCCAAAGTTACTCACTCATTAAAAATCACTAGCTTTTGTTTCTCCCCACCCAAATTATATTAATTATTGGCAACCCGAAAAAGCCAGCCATTTTAAGATTCCCTTGGATAAGTAAGAGGGGTTCTCAGTTACCAAATTACAAGCCTCAAAACACCAGATTCAGCCCCCAAAGATGAGCTGTATGGATAAACTTGTTTACCTGGCACTAAGAGTACTCCAAAGTATGCATGATTCCCCCAATGGAAAGTCACCTTAACATGGTTCACTGTTAAAGCTTGCAAACACAGAGACTTGGCATTAATTACAAAATACAAACCTATGTATGCTCTTTAGTACTTAAAAAGACAAGTTGTAGCAGATTGGGGTTTTGCAAAGTTATTAACAAAACTAACAACCACACAAAAGTACCAGAACAGTAGCTCGGAGGAACAATAGCTAGCTGGTTGAACAACCAAAGAGCAGCCATGCCAGATGAGACCTTTAAAGGTCCCTCTGGCCTGACCTTCTGCTCACACAGTGGCAGCCACAGCACGAAGAACGTGCTACGCTAGCACACACCGAGCAAGTATATTTTATTTATTTATTTATTACTTAAAACATTTCTATGCCGCCCCTTGCCGAAGCCTCGGGGCGGCTTACAACAACAGCAACATCCCGCAGGATCAAAACCCACAGGTTAGATTCAATGCTCATTCAGGATGACACTGTAGATGTCTAGACTTGGAGGTAACCTTCTCCAACCTCCATGTTTTGGACTACAATTCCCATTAGCAGGGCCAAAAACCAGTAAACCTGGGATGTGGTCTAAAGCAACCTAAGGAAAACCAGATTCCAGGTAAACTATCACTGAATGTAAAGGATCTATTCAATTATAGCTGACAGTTGGCTGGTCTCTTATATTTAAGAGCCCTATGTGGTTTCTGCAGATCAGAGTCCTTTCATTTTGTGCCAGATTAGGGCAGCTCCCCCCCCCCCAAACTTTACACTCACCTCTACGGAACAAGACGGTAGGATACCAACTACCTCCTCTGTGTGCAAGGATTGCACAAACATTATACTGAGCTGGGGAACATCAGGCTACGGGCAGATTCTACCCTCCTGGAAACTCAGTTCAGCTTCTGGGGTTGGCAAGTCAGTTGATTATGTATACCCCACCTTCTTTCCCTTGGCAAGGAACCTCTCTCAGTTGATGGCCTCCTGGGTTTCATACAGTTCCCTCTGAATTGAAAATGACTAAAATGCTTCTCTGAAGGCTTTGACATGGAAGAGCTAAAATCTCTATTTTCGGCACCACCATCTTTTTCCTCTCGGCCCTAGAATACCTCCACAATCAGCCCTCAGACTGAAAGAAATTCTGCACCATTGCACTATATCAACAGGTGCTGATAGGACGGGCTGGTGTTATACCTGCACCTGGAAAAGGCAGGAATCAGGTGCCTGCCACCCACCCCAGACCTATTATTATGATTATGATTATGATTATGATTATTATTATTATTATAACATTTCTATGCCGCCCCTTGCCGAAACCTCGGGGCGGCTTACAACATGATAAAATACATTGAAATACAACAGTACATAATAAATTACCATTAAATACAAAAATACAAAAAATACATTGATTTACAAATATAAAATTAAAATTATCAGTATAAAATAAAAATATAGGAGGAGAAAGAGAAGGAAGAAGAAGTTGCCCTGGCCAGATCATATGTTTTAACAATTGAAATGATGTTTAAATAAAAAGGTCTTTACCTGGCGCCGAAAAACCAGTAACGACGGTGCCAGGCGGACCTCTTTGGGGAGTGAATTCCATAGGTTGGGCGCCACCGCAGAGAAAGCCCTCCTCCGGGTACTTACTCTCCTAGCTCGGGGGTCGCATAACATGTTAGTGTGGTAGACTAAGCAACATTCTGACTGTTGAGTCTTGTCTGTACAACTTTTATCTGGTACTTTCTAGTGGAAACTGGGGGATGCTGGGAGCTACAGCCCAACACACCTAGAGGAAGAGGAGAACTAGGTGGGCTAATTTGGCAAAGAACCGGAAAATTAAGATCAGCCCTGGTACAGCACAGATGTGCATACAACTGATTCTCAGTGATGTCAGATGCGTTTGCTGTAAGACGGCCAGTTTTTCCCCCTGGTGGGGCTCATGTGCCCTGAGCACAGCAGTGCTGGAATCCCAAATCTCTTTGGCTAGGCTGGCTTGGACTGATGACAGGTCTTTAAAACTTCTGCAGCAGGATACAAAGCACCCTCTCCTAACCTATGGTTGTTAGCCTCTGAATTGTAGCCTCCCCCTTAATTGCAGTTTAATCAACAGTAATTATCAACTGAAAAACTGCCTGCCCTGAAAGGTTTTTTCTGCTCCCCCCACCCTGCATATGCAATCTCTGTTCAAGGTGCAGGAGCAGATCGACTTTCTGCAGGTCAGTTGGCAACCTGCTGTGTTGGACACTTGGGAGGGCAGCTAAACACTCCTCTCCACACGCATGTGCAACTTATGTTGGCTGTTTCATCAGTCTGGAAACTGTTAATGGTAGATGAGCCCTCCCAGCAGGAAGAACTGAGCAACAATATTCCAGGCCAAACTTATAGCCCAATCCCCCAATTTCAAACAGACTTGCTCCTGCAGAAATGTGATTGACTTGCAACCTGAAAATTGTGTTTCTCTCTCTGGCCCTGTAAGACAGGCATGTACACCAGGCTCCAATGTTGTGCTAAAAATCAAAAGTAGCAGTCACCTGGAGTGGGCGAACTAATAACCAGCTGAGAGATAAATGCTCCTCTTTGCAGTACTTCTAGCTATACCAGCTCTCAATTATCTTGAGAAGGGACATTAGCAAGCTTGTAGATTATTTTTAAACATGATTTCAGTGGCTGCTAAAATTGTATCAGTTCCTCTGCTCTGGAAATCACCACTGCGTGATTACAAAGTGTTGGAAATGGCAAGAAGTGGGTCAGCTTAGAGGGAGGCCACACAGAAGGATCCAGAAGAGGAGGAAAAACTGACTCATTTGCAGTATACTAGAATATTTATTTTGATTCTGTTAAGATTAGAAGGGAGTAACTTTCTGTGATGTAATAGTCTGACTTTTGTAGAATGTGTAGGAGTGGGACCAGAACAAAGGTGGCAACCTCAGTTCTTCACATGTTCCATGGTACAGTTTGGATATTGGAGCTAAGATGGGTAAGTGGCCCAGTGCTAATGGGGTGGGGGGAGAGAGAGATTTTAACCTCTATAGACCTCCTGAATATTGCAAAGCAATTATTTCTCTTCTTTTTCGCCCTGCTCCTAAGTCTTTAATAGCAACTTGTGCTGCAGAGATAAGCAGATGAAGTTTTTCATACTAGATGCTTATGGTAGGACAACTTTGCCCGTTACATTTCTGCAGGTCAGTTTACTGGTAAAGACACAAGAGCCCAAGGACAATAAACCAGTTGGTAACTGAAGCCAATTTGTCAAAACCATCCCACTTCCCCTCCAGGACCCCTTCCTTGTTCTCTCCTTTTCAAAAAGAAACAGGCTAGAGCAAGTGACACATCTGCAAAGTCCTTGTCTCTTCTTTCCGCTGCATATCTTGGATGCATTTCAGCAAGAAGAAGATTGCCTGTCTCCACTGAGCCAAATCTCTATGTTCCAGTGGCGTATTTCCCACGACTGCAGCATACCAGCCTCACCTCTTGGGAAGGGCAAGGAGAAATATCCCTTTTTAGAATACAAATAAAAAGGTATTAAATTGTTTGTGCGCATTGTACTGCTGCAGAGCTGGGCCATTCCTGTTTTTACACTCGTTTGCTGATTAGAAGGTGTCTTCCTATACACACACACACACACACACAGCCTTATCCCAGAAAAAAAAAAAAAATAAGAGAAGGTGGAAAATGCTGATGCAGCTGCTTTGACAAGGAGATGCCCCATTAAACGGCTACTGGCTGCCTGCAATCCACAAGGGATGTGCTACTTTCATTGAAAAGGGAAGGGGGGGAATAGACTGCAGCTATGATGAGCTGACACCGAAGCTTGCACAATACAGCTCAAAGAAGGCCAAAGGGTGGGATGACAAGCTATTGATCCCCCACAAAGGCTTTCTCGGCTTCATCCTCCATTTCACTGCTCAATTCACCTTCCCGGCTGATATTTGGTGCCTGCTTGGGATGGGTGGGCATTCTTGAGCCTCTCCTAGAGTTTCCTTGCTCGCTTCTTGGCTAGTAATTAAAAACAACCCTCCAGGAAATGCAGGCGAGAAAAAGGAGGCCAGCCGCAACAGTCCGTGACACCACCTGGATAAAATTCAGAAATTGAGAGGCATTAAAGCCACAGAAGCAATATGGGGAGGGCAGAGGAGGGGGAACCTGAGGCAGTTTATTAGACACAGCCATTCAAGCCTGCTCTAAAGAGGAAATTTAAAAATGGGTTTATGCTTTCCTCTTCCCAGTGGAAAAAAGAGAAAGGAAAGACTCCATGTGGGTATTGTGGGGCAGGGAAATCTTTTGGACAGCTATTTCTGCCTCTTGCACATTTGCACTTCTCGGTGGTCCTGCACGAGGAGCCTGCATGTTCTGCTGAGAATTACCAACATGAGGGTGCCTTCACACCAAGTTTTTAGAACCACAGTGTTGCGAGAAACCTTGGAGATTTAGCCTCAGCCCCTCTTCAATGTAGGCTCTGCCAGGATTGCAATTTCAGCTGGAATCACTAAATTTTGTTTCCCTTTCATACATTTTTATACAAGGCAGCCATACAAAGTCGTCATAACTTTGCTCTCCTCCGATGCTTTCCCTGTGCTCTTTTTTCAGACTGCAGAAAATCTGCATTCATTTCCCTATCCCTTGGGATCAGTGCAGGCAGTGACTCTCATAGGAGGCAAGGAACCTGTGTCACCTTAGAATGGATGGGAAAACAAAGCGGTTATGGCTGCTGAGTCAGGGGTGGGCAGCTTTGCATGGTCCTGGGACCAATTTCCAGCTCCCAGATCTCTTAGGAGCTGCACTTCTGCTGTGGTAGCCACACTGCCAAAAGAAAAGAAAACCGTGACACAGGTCTGCCACTGAAATACAAAGGCCAACCACTACAGAGTCTCTTAGGGGACATATTTTTCTGGAAGCCAAGCTAGCTTAAGTTAACTCATCTCTCTCATGGCTTGCCACTAAATCTCAGCAGCGAACCGTCAGTTCTCTTGCTGCTGCTGTGTGGAAGCTGGGAGCGGGGCACCTGAGGCTGCAGGGAACCAGGTCCTGGAGATGGTGGCATCAAGGGTGCCGAGTCACTTTCAGTCTGAGGACCAAATATATTTCTAAGGAGAAGAGGCCCAAAGAAGACAGCATTTGTTTAAGCTTTAAAGCGCTGACTTCCAGTAATTAAGCCTTAGGAGAGGCATTTCAAGCTATTAGTCTTAGTCTTATTTCATTTGTAAATTGTCCACAGTAGCTGAAACTCTCTGGGCGGTTCACAACACAGGTCATAAAAACAATGCAGTAAAATACCATAGACTCTTTCCAAAGCATGCACACACGTACACACAAACCAAAATTCAAAACAGATAATACATATGATGTATGAAAAGGTAAAGGTTTCCCCTTGACATTAAGTCCAGTCATGCCTGACTCTAGGGGGCGGTGCTCATCTCCATTTCCTAGCCAAGGGAGTCAGTGTTTGTCTGCAGACAGTCTCCGTGGTCATGTGGCCGGCATGACTAAACACCACTGTTACCTGCCCACCGAGGTGGTACCTTTTTATCTATTTGCATTTGCATGCTTTTGAACTGCAAGGTTGGCAGGAGCTGGGATGGAGCAAGAGAAACTCACCCTGTTGCACAGATTCGAACCGGCGACCTTTCGATCAACCAGCCCAACAGCACAGCGGCTTAAACCACTGCGCCACCTGCAGTCCCCATATGATGTATAGCCCTGTAAAAACACCTTGGATGACTAATCCCCACAAGCCCTTAAATATCCGTGTATATTTCTTAAGGTCTCAGCATAAATGAGTATCTTAACCTGGCACCAAAAAGAGGACAATACTGGTGCTAGCTAGGCCTTGATGGGGAGGTCATTCCACAGATGGGAGGGAATGTTGACCCACCCCCCCATTGCTGCTTTCAAAGCCTTTCTCAGAAGCTCTTTTTTGGCTCTACGAGGAAGGCCCCAGATGCTGAGTGTAGTGTCTGCTTAGACTGAGGTGTGTGCTTTTCCAAGTACCACAACCCCAAAACAATGTAAGGCTTGATAGGTTAAAACAAGAACCTTGACTTCAGCTTGGAAGCACAGAAGCAGCAAATACAAGCAGGCCCAAACTGGTCTATCTATTCAGACCTGAGGACCAAATACTGGGTTCCGGTTATTTAATTTGGCTGCCACATTTTGTACCAGTTGCAGCTTCTGAATGTTCTTGATGGGCAGCGCCATGTAGGGCATAGTGCACATTGCAACAATCTAATTTGAAGTTCATTAGAAGGTAGATTACTGAAACCAGACCACCCGTCCAGATAGGGCTGCACCTGGGTGACCAGCCAGAGCTGGCAGAAGCCATTCTGGGTCACTGTGGCCACCTGAGCCTCAACTGACAAGGGCGGATCGAAGGGATACCTCAAGCGACAAACTTGCTCTTCGAGAACTGAAACAAGTTGCTTGTTTCAGCCTCCAACCAGATAATACATTAAAAGCATCTCCATCTTGTTTGAATTGAGTTTCATTTTTTTAGCACCCATCTAGTCCGTTTCCACAGCCAGGCCCCCGTTTAGCACTTCTACAGCCTCACCTGTGCAGAAAGACAGCTACGAGTCATCAGCATACACTCAAACCCCAAGGACCCCGCTCATTCGCTCAATGAGGACCCCCCTGGGGCCAAGCGCTACTCGAAGTACCCCAAGGAAGAGTGGAATCACCGCAACATCATTCCCTCCATTCCCAGTTCAATCAGCTCACGAAGAAGTCATGGTTGATGGTCTCAAGCCACCCAAAGGTCCAGGAGTATCGACAGGGTCACATCCCCATGTCTGTTCTCCTGGCACAGGTCATGTTCTAAGGCAGCCAGACCTCTTTCCATGACAAAACCTGGCTTGAACCCCAACAGAAATGGAGCGGTGGTGGGGAACTCTGAAAAGACAAGGGGCCACCAAATGAGCAGAAGTTTAGGGAAAGGGGGCAGGGCATGGGGGACCTTTGGAGAGAGCAACACTGGCTCTGAGATTCCACACTCCTGATTTGCAAAGACAAAACCTAAAATGTCAGCATGTTGGAAGCCACCATTTATTCACAAAATGAAACAGCAGTCTGTCATGGCGATCAACCGATACAGAGCATTTCCACTGTTGGCTTAAATCAGCATGGGGATCTTAAATGAATGTTTTGTATATACAGTTAGTCATAAAAAGCCAGCAACGTTTACTAAGGCAAAAGCTGCCAAAGGCAGGCCTGCAGCTACTTGCTTCTTCATTTTATTGCATCCTATAATACTTGTAATAGAATATATATGGGTGCATTGCAAATACACCACCAGTAATATCGTGTATAGTTAGAGTACTAAAAAAGCATTACCATCTTGTTTAAGAGTAATCCTTTTCTAATGACCCTGCTGCTGTTCCCTTTAACAACTGGCCAAAACATGCAGAACTGTTGGGCACACTCCTATACCCGTTTAGACAGAAAAAGTCCAAGAACTCATAGCATTTCTCCAGCTGGTGGCAGCAGTTGAGAAATTCTGGGAATTGTAGGATTTTTTTTTGCCTAAAAACAGACATAGATTTTCGTCTTTAGCCACTTAGCCTTTTCTTGCATCTTATCTCCATGCCAGCAAAAGGTCAGTTTTTTAGGCTGCCACTAAATGTGCAGAAAAGTCTTCATCAAGAGGCATTTTAGAAGGGATACCTTGGCAATGCACACAGCTGTATTGGTGCTACTTAATGGCAGCTAAATACTTGTGCCTAGTGCTTCTGCTAGAGAAACTCAGTGGGTTTGTTATGTGAGATAAATCAGACAGCGCACTTAAGAACACAGTTTAGGGCCCCTTTAATGTTATGCACAGAAACAACCAAGGACTCAAGACCAGTAGCCAGGTGTGAGCAATTGCATGCTTCTTGTACCTTTGAGCAGAAATTCAACAGGGGAAGCTGTCCACCAGCCTGTAGGCAAAGTGACCTGCTGCACCAGGATCACCAAATGTCAGGGCTGAGTACCAACCCTGACCCACCTGGGCTATCCCTATGCCCAAGCCCTCTTTCCCTGGCTCTACACCCTTTAACCTGGCCACAAACTATTTGACAGTTCCTGCATTTCTGCAGGTTCTCCACCCATTCTAAGGCTTAGCTGTGGGCACTAAGAACTTGAAGTTAAAATGCACTGCTTTTCTTACCCTGCCCCCTTTTATTAATTAAATGTATATAATTATAAATTTGGGACATACTCAGTAATTATAAATTCGGGACATACCCAAAAGTCCCAAGCAGAACTTTTGCTTTCATCCACCACTGGAATGCACCTTCGGAAAGATTATCTGAAATGGAGTTTGGTCCTCAGGCTGAGAGAGGTTCTCTACCGCTTGCAGTGGGTCTATAACTCTAGCCCAAGAAGGACAGGGGCTTCTTTTGTATTTCAGTGACGTGAACATGCAACATTTGCCAGAACTAGCTCCTCCTCCCTTTTGGGCCAGTCTCCCTGTTGTGCCTAGAGATGCTTGGGATCCAACCAGGAACCCTGAACATGAGGCCTGTGCCCTATCACAGAACTTGGCTGATCCCCTACTGTGGACACTCCAGTTTTTCATTTCAAGGAGAATAGTTTCTAGCCTTGTGGATACAAAGACAGACTTGTAAGCGTGTGGAATGCAGAGAGCTGCCCAAACACTGAGTCAGATTTTCTTGGCCCTCTATGAAGCTGCCCAGAATCAAACCTGGGCCATTCTGCATGCCAAGCAGGGACCGTATCCCTGCAGCTCACCTCGAACACCTAGACAGGTTCACCGAAGACTCGGCCAGAAAAAGATCTGCTTCTCAGTTGTCCTGTCACCACCCAAGAAAAAGGAGGCAAACCTCAGCTTGGGCACTAAACCGAATGCAGCCTTTGCCCTGAGCAGCAGCACTGCCAATGCATCTCCTAAGACCATGGAAACACGACGCAGAACTGACTGGCAAACTGGGCGAGTGGAAGAATGCATACGCTGACGTAGAAGTGTGAGACCAGAATGAGGCGTTTGCAAGATTTCTGATTCAGTGCTGAGGATTCCCCGAGAACATGAGGTTGTTCCTTCTACGAGGATGACTCAGCAGAAAGCTCCGCGGTCATATGCCACGTCGTTACCACTTAACGACAAAGGGATATCGCACTTTGCTAGCAAATGGAACAATGCTTATTGGAGCTAGGTTTCGTTTGCCGCTTTCCCCTGCAAACCCTCGTGTGGGGGGTTAAGACACTGCTTATGACTTAGCAATAGCATAATATGGCTTTCTAAAAGTAAGTACCTGGCAATCTGGATCAGGGTCCTACCACAGGGAACTGGGGGGCAACCCAGGACATGGAGGACATCTTGTTTAGTTTTGCTCTTTGCTTTCATTTCAAAACATCCTGCAGGTTTCTTTACTTTATTAGTTATGTATTCACAGTATTTGCATACTGCTCCACATCTCAACAGATTCTAGAGCTGCAAAAAGGCTAAAACAGAGAATGAAAACAATGCAGTAAAAATAAGGTAACATTAAAACTTCCTGGAACAAAGATGACAAGACATATAGAGTGTTGCTGCCTACCTGGTCTCCAGGGGCAGCGAATTCCATAGAAATGGGGCCACCACATTGAAGGCCCTGCTCCTGGCTCTTGGTCCAAAACACAAAATAGGTAAGCGCAGGTGCACTGCCTAATATGAAATCCTAATGGGAAGGCATAGGGTTTTCACTGTTGGACTTCGGAAATTCCTGCTGCCTCTGTCTTTGTATCACTGCATGCATGCTTGAGCCGCACTCCTGTTTTGTGCATCATGTTCCCAAGACACCATCTTAATTAGCCAATGCACACCATTCCTCTTTCCATCTTTCACTTGGTTGCATTCCAAGAACCATTTAAACCCACCGTGCTGGTTTGCAAATCCTGCTATGCCAACAGAGATGAGCTTGGTCGCGTCCCAGTCTCTGGATATTCACTGCCCTAAGCTGGCTCCTTAGAAACATAGAAACAGAGCGAGTCAGAAGTGGCCTCCCGGGCCATCCAGTCTGACCTCCGGCACCAGCCGGCTCCACTCACGACATGCCCACCATGTGCACGTCCAGCCTATCCTTGAACACCTGCACCGATGGGGCCTCAACCACCTCTCGTGGAAGCCCATTCCACACCCTCGGGGTCCTGAGGACTACCTGCCTTTGCCGTACCAAAAAGGCTTCTGTCCCACACGATACATTCTTACTGCTGCCCCACAACTTGCCTGCGCATGCACATGTAGTCCTAGGGAGCACTCTGGATGTTTCTCTGCCTTTTAGCAGGGAAATTCAAACCACTTTGAATGAAAAAAAGATTCATTTGAGGTATTATTTATCTATTTAAAGTTTTTGTATGCCATCCCCTTGCTTTATAGCCTCGGGACGGCTCACGCAAATTAATAAATACAAATACAGTAAAAACCCAGAAACACCCCGCTGCACAATTAAAACCTATAAATATTAAACATTGTTAAAATATTGTTTGAATAAAAAGGTCTTAGCCTGACGCCAAAAAACAAATGACGGCGGCGCCAGGCGGACCTCTCTGGGGAGCACATTCCATAGTCGGGGCGGCACTACAGAGAAGGCCCTCCTCCAGGTACTCTTCCTGATGTCTCTCCCGGAGGAGGGCCTCTGCTGCCGATCTCAAGGGGCGGGAGGGCAAATATGGAAGCAGGCGTCCCTTTAGGTATCCAGGTTCCAAGCCGTTAAGGGCTTTATAGGTGATTACCAACACCTTGAATTGAACCTGGACTTCGATGAGAAGCCAGTGAAGCTGGTAGAGGACTGGGGTTATATGAGAATAATGCCCAGTCCCCATCAGCAACCTGGCTGCTCTATTTTGCACCATCTGAAGTATTCAGACCGTCTTCAAGGGCAGCCCCACGTAGAGCGCGTTACAGAAGTCTAATCGGGAAGTTATCAACGCGTGTTTCACTGTCGCCAGGCAGTCGTCCTCCAGGTAGGGACACAGCTGATGGATTAGCCGAAGCTGAAGGAAAGCGCTCCTCGCCACCACTGTCACTTGAGCTTCCAAAAACAGCTCCAGGTTGAGAAGCACTCCCAAGCTGCGGACCCTGTCCTTTGGAGGGAGTGCAACCCCATTCAGGACAAGATCCAAGTCACCTTCCCAAGGGCTTGAACCACCCACCAGCAGGACCTCTGTCTTGTCTGAATTGAGCTTCAGTTTATTGGCCCTCATCCAGCCCATTACCTCGGCCAGGCACCGGTTCAGCACAGCCACTGCCTCACCTGGATTGGTAGAAAACGAGAGGTAGAGCTGGGTATCATCAGCGTACAGGTGATTCCGCAGCCCACACCTCCTGATGACCTCTCCCAGCGGTTTCATGTAGATGTTAAATAGCAAGAGGGACAGAATAGACCCCTGCGGTACTCCATGGCATAGCTGCCATGGAGCAGAGGTGAAGTCCCCCAGCACCACCTTCTGGAATCGGCTGTCAAGGTAGGAGCGGAACCACTGCCAAGCAGTGCCTCCTACTCCCAGCCCCCAGATCAGGAAGGTGGCTACCCAGAGGGCCTTGTCTGCAGTGGCACCCCGAGGTTTGCCTGGCGCTGACGCTTTATTCTTTTCAGTGTCAAGCAAAAACTTTCTTATTTTTCCACTATTTTAATGTTCAGTTGGTTTTAACTGGGGTTTTTATATTGACCTGCTGGATGCTGTGTTTATTTATTCCATTTGTTTCTTATTGTAAGCTGTCCCGAGATGCTAGTGATGGACAGGGTTGAAATGCTTTCATTAAATAAATAAATATGTAAGCTACCTTGAGTTCCTTGAAAAGGAAAAAAGGCAGGATATGAATATAATAAAACAAACAAGTTCCCAGTGGAATGGTTCTCAAAGTCTGGATATTTTCTGAGTGCTGCAGAAGCTTTGACATCAGCTACCTTGGGACAGAGAGGAAGAGGAGAAATGAGAAAGGTGCCCTGAGTTCTCCGAAAAGAAAAAAAAAAAAAGCAGGATATACAGATAAAAAATAAATTATCTGGTCTGATACAGAGTACATTAATACATTATGCGTGTCCAGGAGTATCTAAAGACACTATAATCCAGCTTACATCTTTTCCCTACTCATTAAGATGGGGAAGGGGATTCTTCCTTGCTTTCCCTTGGTTTGGTTATCTGTGGGGCCTACATTCCGGCAAGTCCAGCTCCTGGGTCAGGTCTGTCTCTCTCTTGGGATGGATCTTGTGATGTTTTCCCCTTACAGGCACTCAGAATCTGAATCCTTTGGTCTATTTCATGATAGCAAGGCAGAGCTTGCACTCCTCTCTCTGCATATTCATGCCTGTGTGCAAATAAATAAGAATGGACAATAGCAAACAGGGTGCCCAGTTTGGGCCTCTCAGCAAAACGGGATCTCCTGAAGTAAAGAGGAGGGATGGCGAAGAAAAATTTCTGGAGAAAAGGAGGCCCCTGGAGTGGAAGAGCACAAAGGCGGAGATTCACGGGTACATCAAAGGCAATGGGAAGATTAGTGCAGATGGCTAGAATTCCACTGGAAACAAGAAACCGTCCTCACAGCGGCTGCCAGTGGGGCAGAGTGGAGTTACTGCTACACAACGGGAAATAGCTGGGCAGCTACTTGTCCCTTGGAAAGAGGGGGTATGAACATCTCTCAGGTCGAGCTACAAAACAGCCTTTCTCATTAGGCACAGACGAACAGGCCATCTTGGAGCGCACAAAACACTTTTGGGGCAACGAAATATTTTACAGGCTCTAGTCTTACAGTCAACCACTGACTCCATCCTGTGAGACCTTTCCTGTCTTATCCAAGGGCAAGCAAAACGCCCAAGCCAGTATTTCAGGAGCCTGTCTCTGTGCACATGTACATTTATTACTGGCATTTAAAGCCCGCATTTCCCACGCAAGGTTGCTAGCACATGCATGACAACGGCCTCTTACGAATCGCCCCAAATTAGGATATTGATTTGCATAACATTCGCACAAGCCAAATACAGGTATCGATGCATATTGAGAAGTGCGATAGCAGAAAGGTAACACTTACCTACACATGTGTGGTGCTGCACTTTGTTATAGATCATGCTTTACGGTAAAGGGATGCAAGACCTCAAACCCGGTCCAGCCCTCTGCAGTAATGCTACTTTCTCTTACATGCCTCTTTGCCATTGGGTGACTGCAGCTTTTGGCAATTTTTAGTCCCATTCTGAAAGATGAAAAGGTCTAGTTCTTAGCAGTAAAGGGCTTTTAAAAAAAATTGCTGGTGTTTTAGTCCCACCCCTTTTGCCTTTGGTCCCCAAGAGCTTCTCTGGAGTGGCATTCAGTCCTCAGGCTGGAAGAGGTAGGACACCCATGCCTTAGAATAGTCATGGAAATAGTTTTCCATGCATGTGGACCTAAAGAGCTGTGCGTGAGCAGTTCTTCTGACTGGGTAGAGGGTGTTTGTGTTGCTCTTGGCAGGCTTGTCCCTCCTGCAAAGGAGCAGGTTCAAAGCCTACAGTGAAGCCCTCAGCTGTCTTGTGCCCAGTGGCAGAGAACGCCTTCTACTAGCAATGCCCTGAACTAGACACAGGTTTGGGCTTCAGGAGTCCATACTCTGGAGACTTCCCAAGTTAATTACTGCAATGCAATCGATGCAGGTTAGCCTTGGACTGTTGGAAGCCAGTTTAGATGAGCTGTGGTGGTCAGCTTCAAGAGGAGACCAGAAGGTCTGAGCATCGAACACCGAATCTGACCAGCGTTGCACCGGCTGCCTGCATGTCTCTGAGCCCAGTGCCACGGCTCTGCCGATATGACCTTCCCCAAATACCATGGAACTTCTGGGGGTTCCCCGCTAAGGCCTCTGTTGAGGGGAGTATGGAGAAGTATGCAAGAGAAGTGGGCCTTTTCAGACGAAACCCCCCCCCCATTCTCTCCCCAAAGGGGTCTACCCGTTGCCGACACTGCCAGCTTTTCAGTGCCGAGTTACGCTGACTTTCCCCTACATTCGGTCATTCGGCACCTTGTAATGGGACTTCTGAACGCAAGTTGTTTGCAGAATTCAGAAAACTGATTTTTTTTCAAGAATACAAAAGTTATCATCTTATGTTATTTTTATTGTTGGGGCTATTTTAAGCAGTTTTAAATTTCTCTACATTCGAAGGCTTTCTATTGTCTTATGAAATCCTATTTTAGGGTTCTGATTTTATGTACACTGCCCAAAGCACTCTGGCTAGTAGGAATGCAGAAATGCAAAAATTGAATGAGCGGCATTTTCAATTCTTCCCACTAGATGGCTGTAGAAAGCCATGGTTTTGCGAATCAATTTTTATAGCTTGGGAGCTGAGGAAGCCCGAGTTTAGAAAGACTGCTGATGCAATATTGTTTTCTCCTGCATAGACCCTTTTCAGTAAGGACCAAAGAAGAGGAGAGGAGGGGACAAAAAAGTGGGAAAACAGAAGAGGCATCATAAAAAGGGGATGCCATTTGGGCCCTAAAATCCCATGAAAAAGCCTGTGTTTGCACAATAAAATCCTCTTCTGTTTTTACAGAGCCCGTGGGGTCTGGGACTCAGCCTAGGCTCTTGGCCCTGCCCTGCTGCGGAGCCATATAGGTGACTTTGGGTCAGTCAGACTCTCAGCCCAGCCAACCTCACAGGGTGGTTGTTGTGGGAATAAGACTGAGTGCCAGAGGAGGAAAATGATGTAAGACATGTTGAGTTCTTTAAAAAATAAAATAAAAATGTGGGATAAAAATCTAATAAATCTAGAAGCATCCCATGACGGCACCCACCATAATTTGCCACGCAGTTGACCTATGTCTGGGACAAGGCTGAATGACACATACATCCAGACCAGTTTTGCCTACTGCTGTGGTAGCTCTCTTGACTCTTTTCTATCCGCTTTATCTTGGAGGTGGAAGGCACTGAATATGTGCGTTGTCACCAAATGGAGGTTATCAGGGATTTACTTTGCTACTGCATTGTGCTGGAGAGGTGATTTGGTGATCTTCCAGAGGGAAGAATATCAACTGGAATCCAAGTAATTTCTTCTTAGAAAAGCAACTTCCAGAAGCTGAAGATCTTCCCCTTTTGAATTAGAAGTGTCAGTATTGTTCTTGCAGTGTTCACTCACAACCAACAGAAAATCTTCCTTCTCCGAGGAAGTATTATTTTTTGGCATAAGCGCCCTCTGTATGACCTAGAAACATCTCACTGGTGGGACTTAAGTCATTGGTTTGGCCTCCCTCCCAAACGTAGCAGGTGGATGGGGAGCATGTTCAGGAATGTTTTGCATATGGAATCACCAAGATTCAAGCTCCAGAGTTAGAATTGGGTGGCAGATGCCGCCAAGGCCCCAAGACAAAATACCTACCAGTTAGCACAAATGATTCTGGACTCGACAGACAATCAAGCCTCTAGTCTAAGCGTGAAACCTACTCCCAGACTATTCTTATCTGCTTTATTGGGTGAATGATGCCATGCAGCACGACCCATTGTCCACCTCTGTGAAAGCTTGTTTGGAGGTGTCTAATATTCATTTCTTGTTCCCTAGGAGCAATTCATTCCAGAGTGATTAGTATGTTCTCACTCTGAGGTTGGAAGTACTACACTATCATATTGCCAAGTGGAAACAGCTGCAGAATTCCAAGTTACGTGTCTTTCAAAAATCTTTTGTTACTGGAGAGGGGCAAAAGCACTTGTGAACTGATCCAGCGAAATGTGGCAGGTTGATGGAAGGCTTCACAATTCGAACAAATTGTCAGACGAGGCCCCACGACACTCATCCTGTTGGGGCTTTTGGCAGTGCCCAGGAAGCAGTGCTGAGGGAAGGCCAAGAAAATCACTCTGGCATGCCCTTTGGAATTTTTTTTAACAATTTTTCTGTACATCCATGCATAAAGAGTCACAGTCACTCCAGAGGTTTGAGAGCTGAATGACTTCTTGGAAGGACAATTGAGGGTGTGAATGTGGGCTGGGTGAGGGAATGGTTGGAATCAGCCAGTTTAAAAACATAATAGTTCTTTTGATTCTATCTTGTGATTCATAGCACTACTGAGATTTATGGCTCCACTGAATGTAAAACAACGCAGGCAAAGTCTTCCCTGTCAAGATTACTTTGTAAAACTCAACAGCAAAGAGAAAAGGCAAATATGAGAGTATGAGCAAACGCATTCACGTTAGCTGCATTTTATTTACGTCCTGCTCTTCAGCCAGATTAAGATCCCAAAGCAATTTAGCACTGAAATGCACACATAGGTACAGAAGAATTAGGGATACATTCCCATGGGCAAACACAGGCAGGGACCTCCCTCCATCAGAGAATCTCTCAGCACTCCATGGTGATAAATCGGGGGATTTAGGGAAAACTGAAGATTGCTTCCAGGCAGCTCCCCCACCAACCCCCCCCCAGCTACTTGGTGCTTTAAATACACCAGGTTGATGGCAGGCATGTGTAGAAGGGGGTAGTGAGTGGTACAGTCCTATTCCAAGCTCTTACCTTCCAGCTGATGTTCATGACGCCAGCGCACAGCAGCAGTAACTCTATGTCAACCTGCAGTCATCTAGTCCTTTCTAGTCAGCAAAACGCTTCAGCTACTTTTCAGAGGAACTGAGCAGAGCAGGAGGCCAGATCTACACATGCAGTAGGACCGCTGATGCTCTAATATTTTCCCTCCCCTAAAACCTCTCTGCAAGTAAAAAGATAGCACAAGGAGAAGTATTCTACAAGGAGAAATATTCTAGCTACGCCTACTCACTGTTGTGGAAGGTCTCCACCTGCAAAGCTATTTTTGTTTTGAAATGTGTGGGAAAACTCAAAAATGTGATTCTACATTTATAACCTTCTAAGTGGCACCTTGTAAGTGGCACAGTCCTAGTCTACCAAGTGATCCTGGTAAATGTAGGCCAAGGATGCCGGAAGAATTTGAACTTCGCAAATACTGGCACAAATTGAGCCCACTCATGCCACCCAACCCTAGATTTCCCTTCAATTCTCACATCTCCCAATTTTGTGAGCACAAGTCCACAGCAGAAATTACAGCTCAAAATGCACCTGAAATGCACTGTCTTGTGGTAATGCATTCAGAATTACCAACATGTCACAGAATGAGCAAGCATGTGCAAAACTGACACCAACCAGAAACTAAATTTGTTCACTGGGTAGTCCAGAGGACTGAGGGCCAGTTGGTGAGAAAGACATTAATGCCAGAGGTAGCCCTTCTTTCTTTTCTTTTGGTATGGAAGATCTAAAGGCTTCCCATAAAACATTTCGGAGTGCCGTTTGTGCATGCCTTTGTGCAAATCTTTTAAAATTCTTGATACATCCTCTCCTCTACCATGCCAAGCTGCCGTTCAGCTTCAGAAGTGGTCTGACATGCAGCATGGATGCCGTGAGAAATAACTCTCCTAGGGGCTCAAGGAACTGGTTGCTCATTGGGCTTTGGTAGCACAATTTAGATTCAGATTCAAGTACTTCATTACCACAAGTACATCACAAACTTTTCTGAATTTAAAATCCACTATTCCCTCTGCTACAGGTTCTGTTTTACCCCATCAGCTAGTATGGGCCCAAAATTTTGTATTCTGTTTTAGCAAAAAAAAAAAAAAAATCTTATAGCTCTCAGCACATGGCTGACTGGGGAACACTAGATTTTGAAGTGTTTTCTTCCTTAACGTATATAGGATCACACCCTAAAATGGCCTATATAAAGCAAAAGTTCAGGAAGGAAAACAAGGGAACATTTTGAGCCATTCAATATGCTCAAGGCCCTCTAGGAATCAAATCAATTATCAGCTTTTTGCCAACTCTTAACCTATAGAATGAAACTCAAAAAGGCAAGTGTCAATGTACAATCAGAACCAACTCATGAACTGCACAAAAAGGGGGAACACATTTGACCTATGTGCTGCACACCCAAAATTAGAATGTGGGTTGATTTTACTAGTTACAAACACCTTTCCCCCTTAGAACCCGTTTTTCCAAGTTCTGTAGCTATTCAAAAAATATATGGTTTGAGAACCGTACCCAATTTCTTTAAGCATACTTTTATGCCAAGCACCAGCAGTTTTCAATAGGCTCATTCCGCAATCTATAAAAAAAACAGAGGTGAAGGTGGTTTCTTAGCAAGTCAAAGCAACGCCTTAGAGAAATACTGCTGCACTGTACTAAAGTGATTCGAATGTTAAAAGTAGCAACGTTTATTTGTATGTTTCTAGATCTCATGGCCTACAATGGTAAACAGAGAGTCACAACTAGAGATGTAATAGAAACAAACCCAAAATTGATTGACAAAGTACACCATTTGAGAATTGTGCATTTAGTACAGAGAGCTCATTTGGGATTTTGATGTCCTGGTTCAAGTCCATCATCTACCATGGATTCATTGCACATTTGGAAGAAACAGTGGCACACCTGGCTCCCCTTTTCAGGCACTTGAATGGGACAGCAAAATTAAGAAAGGGCAATATCCTACAACTCCTGCACCATGGGAAGTATGCCTGTAGTATGCTTAATGCATGTGAAGTTAGTGGCTTGAGAGGATGATGCACTGGTACAATTACAGGCTTGTGCATGTTGGGCTCTGTACACAACGCTTGTGCACTCAGGGATTGGGGGCTATATGTTACATTTGCTCTCAGGACCTTAGACTTGGTTGAGAAATGCATACACTTACATACACCCAAGATGGCACACATTTGGGTGGGGGGGGGGAAGCATGCAAAATGTGGTTTTTAAAAAGGTGGTACAAGAGGTATACATATTTTCATGCAGGTTGGAAAAATTCACAATCCAGTATGGAATGGGGAAGAATTAACTTAGCACTGAAAAAAAATGAAAACCTGAAAGAAATCAAGCTTCGGATTCACCCGTTTTGACTGGGTCCTCTCCAGAGGGCAGAGCTAGCCCCGGCACTAAACCAACCGAAACCCCTCTTGTGCAGCAAGTAGCAGCAGTCGCCGACACGAGGTCTCAAAGGTTTTAAGGCTAGCTGCACTGGAGGTGTATCATTGCAGAGTAGAACAAAGCCAATGCACCCACCCTATTCAGCAGCAGCCAAGTTCTTGAGGGCTGTAGTCCCTAGCCGCCCTCCCCTTTGGTGGACAAGGACTCTTGAAAATGCTCTGGTAGTGGCGGTGAAGAGATTCTATACTAAAGCTTCCCAGGCCGTGATCCAGCAAACAAAGACTGGTCTCCTCCTCTCCTTTGTGCTGGTGAACTGTTCTGCAAGGGCATAAAGAGGTTGGAGAAGGGCTGTCTTTGGATAGAAAAGCCTCAAGCAATCCTCTCCTGGCTCCAAGTTCAAACTCATCCACCAGCAGGGCTCCAAGTCTCCATGCCTCAGTCATCTGTTAACAGAAATGATATGGCCAACTAACTGCAGCCAGAGAGTTCACATTTCATTTCCTGGTTTTCCTGGTTTATTTTCAAAGTTTTCTGAACAGTAACACAGGGAGGGAAAAAAACAGCAAGTTAAACAGATTAACAATAGTAAGCAATATGCTCAAAAGAATGCAGTCCAGGAGTCCATTTGAATCTAGCTCATGTATCTTTCAACTTCTGAATAGGGAAAACAACAACCAGACACACTATAGTTTAATAGTTTTCTTTACAAGACTGGGAAAACTTTTCCACTGTAATATTTTGCCCCCCCCCCAACTAAAGTTGCTTACAAGGACCATTTCTAACCCATCCCCCTCCAGCCCCAAATACATGACATTGGCTGCTGCTACTAGTACTATTCAAATCTTTGTCAGATGTACAGATACATATTGCAATATTTTTACGACAAGATACTGCAATGGCTTATATGGTTAAGCTTCAAATATGCTGTGTACTGCATTAGCCAGGATCCAAACCACCATAAGTTCTTTGACAGAGTCAACAAAACTTTGAACTGAAAGGATTTTGGAAGATACATTTGTGATAGGAAATAGAGCCAAGAATTCCCCTGGACAAATGCAAAACATTTAGATCCAGGCTAATGCTTTCAACGTTTAACTGCTATATCCCGTAATCCCAAAACATGTTATTTATCAAGCACAACTTTTTAAGTGAAATAACAGACATGAAACAAATGCATATGTATTTTCAGTAGTCACAGCAGCAGGACAAGAACTTAGTTTTTTGAGCAAGCAGAGGGCCAAGGGAGGAGATTCATGACAGTGGAGGAGCAAATTGACTGGAAAGTCTTCTCAGAAATATTTTGGTCAAAGTGGAAGCTGGAAAGATGTTTGACAAGGAGGAAAAGTTATTCCAGCATAGGGATGAGCCTAGAAAGAAACCACCACTCAAAATTACCAAAAGGAATTTGCATACATTCCCCCCTCTGCCTGACCATTCCCTCCCAGTTATTTCTTGTAAACTTAGGTTGGGGGCAGGGACTGCTCTAATCCATGTAACTTTGTAAAATGACGCGCACAGACAGACTGTAGAGTATCAGTACAGGATTATGAACTCCACTGCTTCATACGGAACCCTGCAATTTGTTATCATAGTGCAGGTACAGACCATGAGGACTAATGTGTAAGGAACTAAGGGGCAAGGAAGGTGGGCCTTTCACAGCAACTGCATTGCAACATAAAATAGAAGGAAGGGGATGGGGACAGGAGAAATGAAAAGGTAGCTTGTGTGGAAGGGACAGAGTGGGAAAAGAAAGAGGTTTTCAAGGAAAACATCAGTACGGCCAGCATAAAAAATGTTTAAAGCAACAATTCTTACTATCCTAAGATGAAGAATGAGGAAGAGTCCCCCTCCCCCAAACTTTTAGTTTTTTCCTTAAGAAAATCACAGAAAGGAAAGAGGATTTATCGTTGAAACTTGGTTTTAGGTTTAAGCACAAAAGGAGTGGTCCACAGGCCACCACCATCCTGAAATGTGGAAGCTGCCTTTGCATTAACACAGTACTGGGTGTGTTTTTTTCTTTGTAAAGGAAGCGCAGATTTGTCAACATGGCAGAGATATTATAAACAGTATTACCTTTTAAACATACAGTAATGGCTGTTGCCTTCTTATTTACCACTGGACCACAGAAAAGCTTCGGCTTTTCCCTAAATTTTAGCAAGTGGAAGACTTCACTGCCTGCCCTGAGTCAAAACTAATATGGTTAAAAAAAACCTTCCAAGCTTGTGCATTGATGTGTATGAATGCAAAACTGAATTTGCTTCTAGTCTTTCCACCAACAGGAATTCAAGACCAAACAGTTGCTTCTTCCTACTTGAAATGGCTACTGCCTTGCGGAGGGTTCTCACCCGGTTCTGCTGCATCGACTTGTTTGCAGCTTTTTAAAATATGTGGATCTGTTGCTAATTACTGAACAAGAGGGGAACAAAAATTGTTTGGCCAAGCAAATTGGACTATTAAATAAGGCCTTGTCCTTTCAGATACGAGAACACTATTTAACAATTAGGCTTTATTTAATTAGGTACATGATTAAAGAAATCAAGCATGTTAGGCAGGAGTTTGCTTTAAATCTCTGATCAAATTAATTTTACAGGGGGGCTAATCTGAAGTGAAAGGTCAGGGCAGATAAAAATGATTTTAAACATGGGAATAATCATCAGTGTTTTCTTTTCAAAAAGTAGTCAGGTTAAAATTAAATTGGGATACAAACATGTTAAAAGTCATGATTCTGTTAAGTGAGTGCAGGGAACATCAAAAGGTTAGATGCACTATTATGAGCACTTGATTCTGATACTGTGATCCTGCCTCTATGTCAAGTCGGCAACATATCTCAAGAGCCAAATCCCAGACTTTCTGAGGTCACATTTTGGTGAAGCTGCAGACAAAAGTTAAAGGGCCAAAATACAATGTATTTTAGTTTGAAGTTCTTACTGTGAGATATTAAGACTTGAAAAGCATTTCAGTCTTTTAAAACTGAGGAACAGAAGTGCACAAAGTTGGGGAACCACTAAATAAACAGTGGTTGAGGAAAAGGAGAAAGGACTGTTTGAGAAACCCCGGAAGTCAGGGTGCCAGGTCTGAAATATTTCTTCTGCCCTAATGCAATCCTGTTCATCACTCAATAGATCACCTATCTGATCTCCTTTTAAAGCACCCCCTGCTTTACTGCTTTGTTCAGTAACAACAAATACCACTTCAACGGTCTTCAAGACAAGGACACACTGGTTTTCACAAGCCAATTTTGTGGAGTGGAATGGAACTTGGGCAAGAATTCAACTTGAAAAATTGTCTTCCAAGTCAGAGCACTGGTTAAAAGTTCAGTATATTCTGACTGTCAGTAGCTTTCCAGGGCCACAAAATCACCCTTTCGATCACCTGCCACCTGGTCCTTTCATGGGGCAGTGATGGGGAATGATAACTGGGATGTTCTCCATGCAAAATATGCAGTTCTACTAATGAGCTATTCAACATAGGAGGGAAGCAGCAACACCAGAGAACATACCCACCTAGTACAAGAGCAGCTTCATTTCTAAGTGCACGCATTTATTAATCAATTTCAGATCACTTGACTTTCCTAAAGCTTTCTTCAACCTGCTAACTCCCACATATGTGCTACAATTCCCACTATCCCCAGCAAAAGCCCTCTGTGGCCATGACTGGGGTTGATGGGAACGGAAATCCAACACATACTGACAGTTCTAGGTTGAAGGTTATCCTAAGCAATTCCAATAGGTGGAACCCATATACCACACACTCTCTCCTTTGGGTTAACACCTATAGCCAGCAGCCCTTGAAACAGGACTAGGTAACTTCAGATATTGCTAAAATGTTACTCCCATGTTCCTTCAATATTGGCTAAGACTGATGGAAATTCCTTTTCAGTATTTGGAAGAACATAAATGTCCTACATCAATTTAGAAGACCTATTTGGATTTCAGCAGGGATGCATGGGCATTGTAAAATCTCTTCCATCTACATTTTGAAGACTGTCATCATTCTGTCATCTGCTTGCTGAAAAATCTGGTTTTGCACAAATACTCATCTGTATTTGTACCAAATCACATCCCCAAAGATGCAAATACCCCAACATACACAAAGTGAGTATTTCTTACACTTTAAACTGTAGAGAAAATGCATTCTTGGTTAGTATTTATTACTCTTATGATTAACTTTGCAAAAAAACAGCAGAAAGCAGTGGGCAGGGGAGTCCACAAAATCCATGCAAGTCAGGAAAAATTGGTCCACTGAGGAAACTCTAGGACAGTCTTATTTTGTGCGTTTCTGATTTCTCTGACATCTCTAGTTGCACTTGCTGATCCCAATTTCAAAAGCAGATTCAGAAGCATTATTTCTATGGTAACAATTTTTGGGGTGCGGGGAGGATTGAGGGCAGACTCTGCCAATCTGGTGCTTTGGTTTGGCTTTCAACTCCCATCAATCCCATTCAGCATAGCCAAAGATCTTAAGTGCTAGGAGTTGCCATCTAAAACATCTAACAGGAGGATGACAAGCAGCTTTAGAGTTAAGAAACCCAGGAAGGTTTCTTCCCCATACCCATGCATAGTCAAAAACATCTGACTAGTCAAATCATTTTATTTTCTACTAAGCAGCTTGCTCATAGGCCAATTATTGAAGGCTGTAATTTCCATTATTAAGCACCAAGTACTGTACTCTAGGGTGCTGAATCTCATGAGTAAAACTTTTAAAGGGTGAGAGAACCCTTAGCCTCAAGCAAAGGACCCAGGTGTTTTATACAAAAGCAAATTATAACATAATTATAGGCCCGATACTGACTCCCTAGCATGAATATTAGGCTTCCCTTACCACATCTAAGAGTTTATTTTTTCCTGTATAATTTTAGTTGTTACTAAAGCAGCAAAAAATCTCTCATAGGCATTTTATTGGCCTTGATAAAGTGATACGGTCTCATCAGGCAGCAGTTTATCCAAGAGCCCATTTTCAATCTACATCTAGGAGATGCTCAATGCTCTGAATGAGTATCAAAATTCTAGAAGGGTGCTTAGACATTTTTAAAAGGCCAGCAATTCAGAAAAGGTGTTGCTGCAGTTGTTTCAAATAATTAGTAAGTCAATGTATCAGGGCTTTCTAAGCAAGATACAAACACTACATTAACTATATGAAGTAAACACACTCCCCCCTTTCCAATTTTATGGCAACAACCCTGCAAAACAAGTTTGAGATTGACAACCCAAAACCCTGTAGGATTCCTGAGAGGACTTCTACCCATTTCTTTTCAGTGGATCACATAAAGAAAGCAATCTGAAGGACTACACCAAGGATTCAGTGTTCCCCTGAAGGCCCCAAACTTACTTTTTAATAAACAGTCCTAAAAACTTGTCTATGATCCCTAGCCACAGAATTTGGCTTTTATTCTCCATCTATGGCCCTTTAGTCCCAAGGAACTGGTTTGTACATCACTGCAGCATAAACCATCCGCCAATTCCATTTGTAGGATATGTGTAATAGCTGAAAGGGGCATTGCTGTTTTATGGGTTAAAGAGTCCCCAGAATTAATCTATGATGGGCTATTCAACCCATAAAGCCAATGTCCATGTTGAGACATCACATTAACCTATAAATGAGGCGTTTCCAAGCTATTTATACAAATTGGGCACATGTAGTGCACTAAAACAAAGGTTTATTCATGCACAATTTCTGAAACATGCGACCTGGTGCTGCAGTGGTACTGTTGGCTTTCATCACTTTTTACCATTAAAATGCAGTTTTAACCCCACCCTAATGCTATTCCCCAACTAGGTGATCCCTGGAGCACTGACTGTTCATTTTCCTCCTCCCCACCCCATGAGAAACACATCGAAAGCTCATGCCAGCTAACTGCAAACAGCTACAGCTGCTGAGCTGCAATGCCCTAGAGGTGTATGCCTGATGGGATCAGCCTCACCACCTTCCTTGGCTATGTATTGGAGATGTATTGTTTTTCATGGAAAATGGGTAGAGCTCCCTATAATCATGATCTGGCACCAGGCTGGCTTAATATCCAAGTCTAGGCCAGATCGTGTGGCTCAGCCCCTTTTGAAAGGTACGCAAATAAAACAGCAAGATCAATTAGCTTGTTCCTTCAGGAGCAAAATGGAATGAGTGCTGAATTCAAGTATCTATGTGCACTGAACCTGGGAGACCAGAGTTCATGGGGATGCCTTGGACAAGTGCTACAGCAATCTTTCAAGAGACTTCTAACTGACATTTTTATCTAAAAGCACATGCTTTCAGATTTTAAGGATGTTTGGAGGCAGAAATGTTATGAAATGGAATTTACAATAATCCATAGGCCATCTACATTTTCCAAACACTTATTTTATGTGAAACTAAAGCATCTGCTTGGTGAACTAGTGTTGCTCCATACGTAAGTCTGAAACTCTTACCTTATGATCCAACACCTGCACTCACCAATGGTCATGTGAGCCTTTGAACACTGCTTTATATCACACTAGAGAAGGGGGGGTTGCTGCAACATTAGCTGCGTAATGATGTCGGATTTAGGGTGCTCAACTTCAAGATGGGCCACTCTCAGACTTCTTTATGGCTTACAAGACTATTCCCATCATAGGCCTACTGTCAGTGATCCAAATCAAGCAAATAAGCCATGGAGTACTGATTTGGGCCCAGTCAGTCTTACTTTAGTTCCCAGGCCAAGGACCGAAGTTTAAAAACTTAATTCATCATGGTACAAGACAATGTAAGAGGGCATTATTTAATACAACAGAACGACCATGCACTTTTTTATAAAATTTTATTTGTCAAAAGAAAAAAGGCAATAGCCAATTGAAAACCTACTTAATCTTAAGACTCCAATTGATGTGTCTTTAAATTTAGATAAATGACTTATTGGTTTAACGTTTTTAAACAAAACCCCCCCTTTCCCCTTTAACATTTACCATCTACTCGTGCTGAATCCTTCCAAGAAGAATGCTCCAGCGTACCTCTCCAGGTCCTTGCTTTGCTCCTTTTACCAAAAAATGACAACTCCATCGTGCATCTTAAGGGCTCCAATCGTCAAAAATAGGAAAAATCTTTGGAATAGCCAATTGAGTTGAATAAAAATCCACACGAGTGCGGTTTGGTTGGGGCAGGAATCCACTCCTATGTTCCTGGTAATTTGATCCCGCTCCATGAATCCTTGCAATTGATCCTCCCTATCCTATCCACATTATGATTTGAATCCAATGATCCAGCTCCAAGGATTGGGATCCAGTGAGCCCTCTCCAATCCAAACCTTTATAACCAGCAAAACCAAAAAAGAGGAGGCAAAAAGTTAGATACCGTAATGAAAAATAGGATTCTGGAGAATGATCAGTTATGTCAGCCACTAGGTAATTAAAATGGCCATTCATAACTATCAATTCCCCAAAACAAGCTTTTGAGTTGTGAAGCTCAGATTTTAGCATTGTTAATAATTCGGAGGAAACATTCTAGTATTTACACAGGGTAACCGATAATGCCAATATACCAATTCCTATACGGCAAATTACAGGTTTTGTGGTTCCAAAAAAGTTTTATGAAGTAGCAAAAACTTGCTGCTAAAGCTATCTACCTATGCATGTCTAAACTAAAAGCTAATTGGACTCAGTCTGGAAGGTAACAAAGTTAACTGAAGTATCAGCGAGTCACCTCTGACTTAACTTGAAAGGGAAAGGGGCGGACTTAAAAAGGAATCCCCAAGGTACCCTCCCCCCATGCTACTATAACTGCTTTCATTCCATTACTTTTAAGAAGGTGAAACAGCAATGCTATATCAGTCACACAGAGGACATGCAGATTTTAGCAGTATTGAGATTATACCCACAGGTTTGAAACAACCTGCCAGTTTGGGTAGCACCTGTAATCAACTGATGCACTGCAGCCACTTAGTATACCCCCACCCTCCAAGGCTGGAAGAGTCACATAAGTATATCCAGCCACAATTGCGATCCTGGTGGTTCAAGACTAAAGCTATCTAAAACATACCTAAACCAATACAGAGTAGGTGTGTATATTAAGTTCATTGCTCAGTATAAGGTCAATACTGCCAATATAATCTGTGACAATAGCACTTGGAGTCATACCATTGCCTCCATTATTGATCTGATCCTCCTCAATCCTCCTTTTGACAATCCTAAAATGATTGACATGTGCTCCACAATCCTTTAATCCAAAGCATTCTTAATCCATCTCTTCAGATATGTCTACAGAAAGACACATGAAAAGGCAAGATAAAAATGTAAGCTCCCTCAGAAGAGACAAGTTAAATTCCAAACATCCCCAACATCCCCAGCTTGTAGAAACTATAGCCAAACAAAGACATTTTATACAGCAATACCACAGTTGGAAGAATGTGGGCAGCAACTAACTAGAGAACCCTGCCTAGGACATGTTAAAATACAATTTATGAAAGACGTGAGGGAATGTTGATGTTAAGGAACAAATACTCACTAGGGATATTATACAAGAATGCATTTCAACACTTTAGCCAATTTTGAGTAAAACAGCTTGAATTATTTTTTTAAAGAAAGACTGTATGGAGTAAAAGAAAACTGCATACAACATGGAGGGGTTCTACAAAAAGGAGCACCATTAAAGATCATTTATGTACGGGAACGTGATCTGCTGTGACGGGGAGAGTAGCGTGGAGATCCTCTGCTTCTTCTCGGGGAATAACTGCGACTTCTGCTGTTGCTTCGGCTACGGCTTCTGCTACGACTACGGCTGCGAGAACGAGATCTTCCATAACTTGGACTTCTTGGGCCATCAACTTTAACACGGATGTAGGCAGTTTCTCCCTATCAAATAGACACAACTTTCGATTGAAAGGTCTAGGCTTTTGAGCTGTCTTTGCAGGCATGCTGACAGAATGAAGATCTTTTTACAAGAACCAAGAAGAGTCGCATCACATCTCCCTGTACAACATCTTAAAACGTGGGATAAACCCAACTAACTTTCTGTATTTGTTAGTGCTGCGAGCAGAGATTGCACCTCCTTACCTTCAATCCTACTGTATCCAATGCAACCCTGCGCATCCAATTCTGGTCAAAACTTTTAAGTGGAAAACCTACCTCATGAGATCTAAACTTAGTGTTATCCAGTTTTCGCACTGCGTAGGTCATATCTTCTTTCCGTACAAACTCCACGACACCAGTTCCATCTCGGAAAACATCAGCATAACATACATCACCTGCTTCACGCATGTGATCCTTTAAATCCTGCCAGCTTCCACTGGGAGGCAGTCCTGAACAAGAGACAGGTTTCAAGTTATTTCCAGTAAAATCCTAGCAAGGTAATATGGACGCCTTCCAGAACTTCATCTGCCCAACAGTGGTGTGTATATAAACCTCAAGTAGGAATCTTTATTTTGCAATAAATGGCAAAACAGATGTTCACAATTAATTATTTAAAAATATGTCAGCACGTATTTACATTCATTCTGCATTCATAAGATTTTAAACTTTAGAAGGACTATAATAGCAAAGGTTTATCTTTGCAAGAATGACAGTAAAAGCTCCTTCAGAGCAGAAATTCCATAAGACACTGAAGCGCCACTGGGCCACTGCCAACAGGCCTTTTATGTTTTCATCAAGACCAATCAAGCCTTTTAAAATAGAAAGGTAAGTCTTGCAAAATGCCAACTTCTGCACTACTCACAAATTATGCTTCCCCAGATTACAAATGCAGGTTTGAGAACATTTGATTCAGCTAATTTGCATGTGCCATCAATCATTCTGCACCCGTGCTAGCTAGACAAACTATCATTTTCAAATCTGAAAATGAAGAAAAGTGTTTATCGCAAGAGGATTATCAACTTACCTGATACTATCACTCTGTACTCTGAGCGCCTTGATGGGGGCCCATATCTGCCCCTTGGGGCTCCACCACCTCCACCACCACCTCCTCCCCTGCCAGTGCCCCGGCCACTTCGGGGGAACTCCACACGCAGACGGTACCCATCATAATCATATCCATCACGTCCATATACTGCATCCTCTGCATCCCTGTAAGAATGTAAGAAAAAAACCACCCTGAAGCTAGATCAAAAAATGCAGGACACTGGCTGAATTATACCCCTGCAGGAACACATCCTGCTTTTTTTGTCCAAGGAGGCCTTTCTCACTGCCTGGTCTTTGATATCTTTGAAAGCAAGGCAAGCAGGAATCTACCTCAGTGGCACTAAAAATACAAGTATTCTCCCTCTTGGTCATTATTCCCCCCCACCCCCGGTTCAGGAAGGCTAGGAAGTGCCAAAGTGCCACAGGAGGACACATCAGTTTTATCTCTGCTAGCTGGCAAATATATTTTCAATTCAGGTACTCTTTGGTATCTAAACTGATTTGCAGCTGAAGCAAATTTTAGTTAATTTGTTATTCAATTTTTCTTTCTGATTATTTTACTAGATGCCAGATTAATTTTAATGATTTAGTAATATGTCATTTTCTTGGTATCTTGTTTCATTGAAAACAAATAATGAAAAGTCAGAATAATGTAATAAAGAACGTTAAATGAATTGGTGGGGGGCAAAGCTTCGAAAGAGTGTTGAGTATAGAGAATCAAGCACCAAGGGAAAACAACCCTGGTTCTTTTTATGATATAGTCCCTCTCATCTGAACCTAAATGCTACTATTGAGTTTATCTAGCCTTCGCTCTACAGGCCAGGGAAATAAGCAATGCAACTTATTTGTTTGGTAAGAGAGAAATTCAAGTGGAAAGGACAACTAACTTATATAAGGGATTTGTGATCAAATACCCAATACTGTATTCAAAAGTTATTAGGAAGACTGAGTGGGAAAAAAATAAAGGAAACACTCATGTTTGTGCATTGCTAGTCTTTACTATCATTGTTTAATTTCTATACCATCCAATAACTGACGCTCTCTGGGTGGTTTACAACAGTGCATAAAACAAAGCAATGCAAATATCGTAAAAACATTAACACAAATTTATAATTAAAAATAAGACCCTGCAAAGGAGAAGAATCACCTCAGTAATCCCCTTGGGCTAACCACGCAATCTTTAAAGGCCTCTGCATAAAGTGCTGTCTTAGCCTGGTGCCAAAAAGATGGCAAGTTTAAGGTCAGGCAGGCCACAGTAGGTAGGCTGTTCCAAAGATGAGGGGCCAGCACAGATAAGGTCCTTCCCTTTGCTGCCATTCTGAGCTGCCTGCTGAGATGGCACTCAAATATTTACTCTGGCACTCAAATATCTTTTGTATATATTGTGTATGATAAAAGCATGCGACTCTCACCAGAACAGTTGCTTCTGCATGAAAGGAAAATGTTAGTATAACCCCATGGTGAGTAGAAATTTAAGGACAGAGTACAAATACTTTCTGAATGAGATAGTGTCCTTCCTTCTAACATTCTCTGTCGATGTAAATTCTAGAAATCATTTTCTACTGAAGAAAAAAAAACTAGACAATGTAGAAACCTAAATAGTATGAACATTGTTCTCCATTTACTGTTCATCACAGATTATGACTACTTCCACTGGGGGCAGGGAAAAGAAAAGACAGCTTCTGAGAGCTTCAGTCTGTCACACTTGCCACTAACAGTCAAAACTCTACCAAGTAACTCAAAACCTGTATTTCAAATGCAATGCTGAAATAAAAAGAAAAAGTGGTATAGCTAACTGAGACTAGACAAATGATAGTCAGTATTTATGCTTTGGTACATTTATGCTTAGAAATACTTCCTCTATGAATAAATTATTTTCATAAGCTTGTTCTTAATAAGTCTAAACAACGAAAAAGCACAAAAAGTCTGCTTATGCACAATTACAAGGAAACTAAACTCTGAACCTTTCTGCATAAAGCATTAAAACATCTAAAGGGATTTCACTTGGACTGAATAATTTATTTTCAAATTTATAGCCCTCTAAAGGCTATTATAATGGGTGTGCAGTGCATGCAAAACCTTCACTCTATAAAGTAGCACCTGAGGGGGAAAAACTCTAAACCCGTCTTTCACTGTATTTACTATATAGAACTTATGCAAGGAAGTTCTATACAGTAAACAACTTATATCTAGATAAACAACTTATATCTAGACCTGGTACATTACAGAATTCTTTCACCTCAATTTGCATCTCTCACTTGGATTTTCTTTGAAGTAACTAATATAGGATCATGCTATAAGGTTGTTTTTTGTATGAATACCTAGGAATGGAGACTACACAGAGGCAAAAACTGTACGTATATCTCTGAGTACTCAAGAGGTGGGAATTATTAAAATGTCAGGGTCATGAGCCATGGGGACTTTTGTTTCTCCCTCAGGGACTGGATTCCTTCTCCAAAATGTTATTCCAATTACCTAGCCTTTTAATTGTAGGCATGCAATGAAAAATATGCAATATTTTATTCAAGTGGCTATTAAGAATTAAATAGTTATCTTTCATTATTCTAATACTTTAGAAGCACATAGAGAAGTAAGAGCGATATTACATTTGTATTAGTTTTACTTTTGTTTAATACCACTGAGAATGCACTTTCACTTCACTTATGGATTGGAACAATTTTGGTCACACCCAAGCCTAACCCGAATACATGATTACAGCAGAAGCAGAGACAAAATAAAGCATGAGGAGGAAAAAGACCAAAGGCAAGGAGGAACTGCCCTGCAACCCCTTTAAAAGTTGAAGTGGAAATTTCCATATGCACACCTTCTCAGCCAAAAGCCCTTCTCTACTCAGCCACTTTCAGTACAGGAGTCCTTCCCTCTCTGCAAGTAGTTTAAAAAGTAGGTGATGCACTGCAAACTGTAATCCACTTATCTGATTTTACAACTAGGTATCCCAACTTCGTATAAACTTTCAAAGAAACTAGCAAGGTTAAGAATCAGTGTGCTTGCATTTGAGTTTTTGCAGCAAGTAAAAGAACTATAAAAATACTACAAGTAAAGGAAAAAAAGACACAAAGTAAAATGCATCATTTGACTCCTGAGACAGAAAGGTACAAATTGGCTATGGAGTACACATTTTCAAGGAAGCATTCAAAGGTCTATTTACTATTTAATATCGATAATCTACCTTCCAGTGTTTATGTGTGGTGGGGGGCAGGATGAAATTTTAACATATAAGAACATTAGAAAAGCCATGCTGGATCAGACCAAAGGTCAATCTGGTCTAGCACTCCACACATACGGTGGCAAATCAGCTGCCAACAGGATCCCTCATGCAGGATGGGGGCAAGACCTCCTCCTGGCCCAAGCTCTTCAGCCACTGATGTATGTAGACAAAGGTAAAGGAGGTAGCACATTGTCAGCTTTGGCTCTGCACACACTGCAATTAAAAGTCAAGTAAAATCTGTTCATAAAATGAACAACATATAAGGGCTCTTTTTAAATTACATTTTAATTCCATCTTGCATGGCAGCATAGCCGATCCTTTCCCATTCCCTCATTCTAAGCTTCCAATGAAAACTACTATAGTGTGGTTGTTAGCATTAGGATTGTGGGCCACTCACTGACTGGAAGCCTAACCCACCTGACAGGGTTGCTGGGAGGATCAAAAGGAGAGGAAGATTTTGCAATTCCTTGCACAGGGAAAAGAGACAGGATATAAATAAAATGAACACAATAAACGTTGCAATGTAGGCTAGGCAGTACCCCCACAGAACTTTTATTCCCCCTTTTATTCTCTGAACAAAGCCCCAAACTGGACCAAGGCAAGAGGCAGCAACAAGTAGGTATGATGCCATCCAGAAAAAGAATGCTTCAGAACTGAGCAGGAGGTAGGAACCTTTGGCTTCCTCAGGCATACCATAAACAGAATACCACAACCCCCGTGAATCTCACACAGTGCAAGTGATGGGACTTGCAGTCCAACACTTCTGGACAGTGCCATGCTGCAGGGAAGGACTACTCTAGGCACTACCCCATGGTTAATACTACTTCAATGCTGGGTATTATTTCTGTATTTAACCAGTGTCTAATTATCTAACAGTCAGTAAAGCAGAAAACCAGTGTAGCACAGGGGTATGTTGGACTACGATTCAGAAAAAGTGGGTTCTTGTCCCCACTTGGCCATGAAACACACTAGCAGCCTAACCTACTTCACAAGATTATTATGAAGATGACAAAGTATAAGATGCTTTGGATTCCATAGGCAAGACATAAATATAATAAATTTGTGCCTGAACATCTAAGTTAGCATGCAGACATTTTATGTGCATGTGCAGGAGAAAAGATTTCACAACAACTGTGAAATAGCTCATTTATTAACTCTAGTTCCATTTATCCAACGTATCTAAAACTTAAGTTAATTAACCTATTTATCTGCCTAAAAGATAACCTGATCATTCGCTTACTTTATCTAATAATTAATCTAATTATTTGACCAAGTGACTCCCTATCTAATCACAACAGACTTGAGACTACTTCTGCAATGCCTTTCACTGTTTTTTCCTCTTCCCGCCGTCCCTTTGCATTTTCTTTCGCCTCAGGAGCAAAACATTGCCGTCACGCCAAGCCACCCTGCCCTGCCCTCCGCCTTTCTCACCTGGGGTCCTCGAACTCAACGAAGGCGAACGGCGGCCCACCGCGGCGGTTCTTGAGATCGATATCCCGGATGGCGCCGTACTTGTAGAAGACGTCCTCGATGTCCTTGGTACGAATGTCCGGCGGCAGGTTGCCCACGTAGATGCGGCAGTCGTTGTTCCCGGCGGGGCCGCGGATCACGCCGCCACCAGACATGGCGAGGTCGGCAATGGCTGCGGTTGGTCGGTCGGCGAGTGTGAGGAGAGAAAAGGGGGAAGAAGGGGGGCGGGAAAAAGCCCAAAAGGGAGAAGGGCAAAGAAAAGAGGATTAAAAGGTTTTTAAAAAATAACGGAGCAGAGGGGGGAAGGGCTAAAAGGCGGGTGAGGCGCGGCCGTCCTTCTTCTCGCTTCTGCTCTCCGCCGCCACAAAATGGCGCCCACCTCACGCGGCCCTACCTTCCCTGCGCAGGGATCCTCCCGCGCTGCGTGACGTCACACAGCGGGGTCGAGAGGGTAGGCACGCGTACGCGTCATACGTAGCTACGCACGGGACTTTCACCGCTCGCTCTCCGCCACATCCGCCTGCCGTCCAATCTCGCATGCTCCGCCCCCTGGTAACAAAAAAGTAGTCCCAGCTGGTCAGGGTGTTTTGCTTCTACTGGGAGCGATGAAAGTGATGCAACCGAGTAGACGGATGTTTCAATGCGAAGTTTTAATGTACGCACATAGAAAAAAAATTATCTATTGTTCGCGTGTGAGGAACCACTTCCGTTAGCTACAAGCGGCGGGAAGCCGTTAAAAGTTTACGTGAAAAAGATCCGGCTGAAGCGTATCGTGGGAGAGTGTTGACCCACAATGCATCGGGCAGACAAGCTCTTTGGCGCCAAAGAGAGGCATATTCCCACAATGCATAGCGGGTAAAGCGTTTGGCCAATAAGCTTTAGAGCAGGAGAAGTTTGGAGACCAAACAAAAAACCCGCCTCAGTACAGTAATCAGAGGTAAAATTGAAGAAAATAATATGTTGAAAAAATCTTCCCTTTAAAACGACTCGAGGCATGGAGTATTGAGATCTCGTTTTTTAAAGCTGTCTGCAACTGGATTTTTAAACTGCCTATCTAGAATATTGTGGTGTAAAGAGTGTGGGACTGGGACTCAGATAATCTGGATTGTAGTCCCCACTCAGCCTTGGAGCCTATTGAGTGCCTTTGGACCAGTCGCAGACACTGAGTCCAACCTACCTCGCAGGGTTGTTGTTGGGATCAGATTGAAAGCGGGGTGGAAAATGATGAAAGCTGCTTTGCGTTTGTAAGGGAAAAAAGCAGGATGCACATCTAATAAATAATAAAATGTAATGTGTATATGAGAGAACATCAGAAGAATCAGAATCGAACCAAAGGCCATCTAGCACCCTTCGTTCACATCGTGGCCAGCTAGTTGCCCCAGTGGGAGTCCCACAAGCAGGATGTGAGGGCAGCAGCACCCTCCTGCCCATGTTCCCCAGCAAGTGGTGTACTCAGCTGTTGGATACACAGGTCCTCTTAGTGGCACTCATTGTTAAAAAGACGGCTGCGGCTCCCTAGTACTGGAGGGCATCCATGAGCAAACCAAGTTTGCTAGCACTTAATTTATGGAGTGGAATGGCCCAAAAATATAACTAGGTTAGCTTGGTGGCCTATAAGAATTTGTAATGTACTGTCAAGCTTTCTCCAACTTAATGGCAACCCTATTAATGAAAGCCCTCCAAAATGACCTATCCTTACACCACTGCTCAGTTTTTGTAAATTCAAGACTCTGGCTTCTTTTATGGAATCATATCATAACTGGTTTTACTCTTCTGTTGCCAATGTTCCCTGGCCTTGCTGTTTTCTCCCTTGAGTCTTGCTGTCATATAATATTGATATAAATTTCTGATTTCCTGTGCTTGAACTCTGTAACATTACTGAGGCTTCGACGACCCAAAGTCATACAGAAATTCAATTTGTGTGTGTGTGTGAATGTAACACTAGTGTAACAAAATTGTTCAGCTGAACAGCATTTTTGTTGTGATAATGCTGAAAAGACAGTTGTTGGCATCTTACTTCTGGCTTAACTGTGCACTGTTAAGATAAATATGGAATGTGGCCTACTTTCTCCAGCTAACAATGCACAGAAGGTGGGATCAATGGAAAGGCTAAAATGACCAATGACTGAGTTTGCGCTTTAAAGTCGTTAACATTAATATTTGCGTGGTCAGTGGCTGATGCTGGTCTCTTACGAAGCATGTGATCGATAAAGAGCATTAGTTTTTTTAAAATCTTGCTGCTGGTTTGTTGTCTCTTGCAGTTAAACAAACAAATCTTTAGTCCAGTCATGGTTAGAGTTCCTGACAATGTGTTGTGAGAGTATCATAACTATATAGTCTGTGTTGCTTATTCTATTAAACCATCTTATTCTCATTTATATTTATAACCTTCCTTTTCTCCAGTAAGGATCTCCAGGTTGCTTACTTATAATGCCTCTCCATTTTATCCTTACAGCATACCTGTGAGGTAGGTTAGGCTGTACAGTGATTGGCCCAAGTTACCCAGTGGGCTTTGTGGGTGTGCGGAGTCTAGAATCTGAATCTCCTGAGTCACAGTCCAACAGGCTAACCTTTACCACACAGTGATGCACGGTGACATATTGCACCATGGTGTACAAAACAGTGGAGAGGCTGGCAAAAAACTACTGCAGCCACTGTGCCAGAGAAAGCTAAAACAAGGCTTTTTGCTTCAGAAATACTGCTTTTTATATACCTACAAATACAATAATCAACTATCTTGTATGATGAATCAAATCGCCATAATTGCACCAAGGCTGTAGCCCTTTCTTTATATTTCCCCAGAAATGATAGTTTCCGCACTGAAGATGAAACTCAAATACTTTGGCCACCTAATGAGAAGGAAGGACTCACTGGAGAAGAGTCTAATGCTGGGAACAATAGTCAGCAAGAGGATGGCAGAGGATGAGGTGGCTAGGTGGAGTCACTGAAGCAGTTGGCGTGAGCTTAGGTGGGCTCTGGGGGATGGTGAAGGATAGGAGAGCCTGGAGGAATGTTGTTCATGGGGTTGCGATGGGTTGGGCACAACTTCGCAAATAACATAACAGTTGGGAGCTGCTAAGCCTGAACTGAGAGCCTATGAGTTTATGCACAGGTACCATGTGGTAAACCACTGAACAGTGGGACAGTATTTGCTTAGGCAACTTAAGTCAGAATCTAGTGGGTTGCATACACCCGTTGATTCTTTTATTCCCCACCAAATCCATTGCCCATGTAAATCCCATTGTTTTCGCAACAATGATTTAGCATTTCAGCGGCAACCCAAAACAAATAGAAATGCTTGTTTCTGGAAGGAGGGTCATCAGTAAAGTGCATATAAAGGAGCTTTGTCTATCCAGAAAAGAGCATTTCTAATATTTTTGAGGCTTCCCCTAGGCAGTACCAAATCTCCCTTAAATATTCCACATGCAATAGAATTAATGAACCCTACCACTCGCAGAAGGAAATCTGCTTCGGCATCAGCATCCTGTTGGATTCTGCCCACTATATCCTTAGACCAGGACTAACTTTGCCCACCCAGGCTGGCCAATGGGTCCTCCTGAACAGGAAGAAATTTAAGAATTCCTCTTCCACTTAAAACTTGCTTGGACAACAAGGTCTTCCCATGTTCTGGCATGTTTCTGTATCTTTCATCCTCTTGGCTTTCTCCTCAGTCCTGCTTCCTGTTTGCCTTTTTATCCTGGCTTGTTCCTCAGTCTTGCTTCCTGGTTTGTCCTTGAGTCTTGACTTCTGGGCCTGCAGATTGGTCTCCTGGCTTCTCTTCTGCACTGGTTTGTATCTTAATCCTGCCTCCTGGTTTGTGTTTTGGTCCTGGAATTGTCTTTGACCCTGGCTTTTCCCTTGCCGCTTGATCTTGCTTCCGGATTTGTCCTTCGATTATGCCTTCCTGCCTTTCTCCATGCCTTCTGATTCTTCCTAGGTCACTCCCGTGGAGCAGCCCCGTCTCCCAGGAATTCTCTGTGAAGAAATGAGGCTGCAAGGCAGTATTTAAAATTCCTTGAAATGCTTCCAATTGAGATGGCATTGAGCCATCTGTGTTTTCTGAATCCTACAAGTGAACAGTGTGAAGAATTCAAAGCAAGCTGGCAGGTGTAAATCTGTGCCCCTGATAATTAACCAGGTTCTGTCAGGACTACCTGAGTGATCCTTTGACCTCCTTTCTCGAGAGCAATTATCCAAAATTCTTGAGAATGGGAGAATGCATGCCCCAGAGGTGGTGGTATTTGTGATATCAAATTCCACACACGTGGTGGCAGAAATGACCATAACTATATCCTGCTGTTACATCCTTTATATTTATTAATGAAATCAAAGTCAAGTTTGGACATCCTTTTATTTAGCAGTGTTAAGTAATGTACTTAGCAGTGGTTGAAAAAAGGCAACCAAATTTATTAGTAATGGTTGCAGCAGCATCCCTACAAGGGCGAAGTAAAGCATTTGGTACGTTTTAGTTTGGAAAGGGAGAAAACCAACTTAAAGGAATGGGGTACATGAGATAAGTTTATAAAACTATACAGTATGGAAAAAATAGAAAGATACCTGTCTGTTTCCTTTCATAATCCTATACTCTGAGGTCATTTAACAACAGATTTGCAGTGGTGGCATAAAGGAGGAGTATGGGGCAGATGACCAAGACCCCATTCAGTATGATGAGCAGGAAGGCTCCCAAATATAGCACATCTGGTCTGCAGCATTTTGAAGTAAGTAAAATGTTGTTTATTCGTAGCCTTTATATAACTCTAAATGGAAGGACATTCCCAAGTGGTTTACATATTAACATTATATCTATACTTTGAATATTGAAATCAAATTTAATACAATTTTAGAAACAATTCCAATAATAATAATAATAATAATAATAATAATAATAATAGCAGCCTCCTGAAACCTGGAGAAGCCAGAAACAAAACAATGTTGGTGCCTACCTGATCTCCAGAGGCAAGGAGCAAGAAGGGGAACCAGCACACCAAAGGCAAGATTGATTGATTGATTGCATTTATATACCACCCCAATATCCCAGAGGACTCTCTGGGTGGATTACAGACATTAAAACCCCAAATATAGTATCTGTATACAATTCTCTGTGCATAGTCTTGTCGGGCCATAGGAACATGTCATCTAGTGATCTTAGTGGCTATGCAGCTTGATAATGGAGAAGGTACTCTCATCTCCTGGTTCCAAGTTTTTAGGGCTCTCTGCACTAGTAACAAAACTTCGAACCTGGCCTGGTAATGAACAGACAATGCAGTTCCTTCAGCAAAATTTTACGTGCTGCTGATAATAGCCAAGTTGCTTCATTTCGTACTAGCTCTATCTTTCTGGAAAGCTGCTGAAATAAAGTTGGCTATCAAGGAGAAGGCATAGGAGAAG